TTTTGAGATGGAGTCTCGCCCTGTTGCCCAGGCTAGAGTGCAGTGGCGTGGTCTTGGCTCACTGTAACCTCCACCTCCTGGGTTCAAGCAATTCTCCTGCCTCAGCCTCCCAGTAGCTGGGATTACAGGTGCGCGCCACCACACCCAACTAATTTTTGTATTTTTAGTAGAGGCAGGGTTTCACCATGTTGGCCTGGCTGGTCTCAAACTCCTGACCTCGTGATCCGCCCGCCTCGGCCTCCCAGAGTGCTGGGATTACAGGCATGAGCCACCACGCCCAGCCTCTTCACACTCTCCTTTCTTCAATGCCTAGATCATTGCTGTCTTACATGGAAGAATGAAACTATCTAATAACATAATTTACAGTAAATTACTAATTGGAGAGAAAAAAAAAACCTCTTTTGGTATATTTCTATTTTAAAGGAGGGTCTTGGAAGGCAATGCCTAATCCAAAGGGAACTAAATCTTGGAGAATTTCAGCCAGTGTGGCAGGCAATCAGGGAGGTATTTGGGGATAGGAAGGGCATGCCTCTGTCCCGAGGTACCATCCCATGTAGTTATCTGTTCCCCATGCTTTGTAAAAAATGATCCATTTTGCCATGGGTCCATCAAAATTATTTTGAAATAGTATCTACATTATCCAAAAGGACCTTGAACTTGGGTTTCCTCTCTCTTTCAGCTCACTTCTGTTACCTAAACCCCGGCTTGATTGTAAAATCAAGTGCAAGAGAGTCCCAATGCAAAAGTGGTTACAAAAGTAAACAAACTACTTTATATTGGTATGGCTTCATGGATATTTAAAGACACAAAAATAATAATCCCTTTCCCCAATTTGGTCGTTCTTGAAAGCAGAAACCACGAAGCCCCATGCAGTCTGCTTTGACAGTTTCATGGGACCAGAACTCCCCTCACCAAGGGTGAAGATCTCCTTGAGTCTAGTTTAAGATGACTTTCTTTTAAATAAATAATTTTTGCTCACTAACTTATGCTCTTCTCTCACTTTTCTCCTTTCCCTTCTGCCACTTACGTTTTTCAGGACAAATGTTGCCTTTCACTTTACTGCCAGCCCCTCTCAACCTCAGGTAAGTGAAGGGGTTCCAAAAGTCATCAACATCCTACCTCTTGGTGTTGACTGCCTGTTAAATGAAACTATGTTACTATGGTAGAGTTAGCGTGTGGTGTTGCCCTTGACCTGTCCCAATTTGAAGTATATCTGTATTCCACTTTATTCCTTGTGTTACTGGAATTTTGGACACAAGATTTAATCTCATCACTTTAATTGGTATAAAGTGGGTGGCATGATATTTGTTTTCAGGTATTCCTTGGTTCAACCTTCATTGAGCAAATCGTGCGCCCACTCTGCACCCAGCACGTCGTTAGATTGCACCTGGTGCTGGAGACACAAGGATGAAGAACAGAGAGACACAGCTTCCACCATGATGAACCTGATAGCTAGGAAGTGGTAGTGGGGACAGGGAGTGAAAAGCGGACACCAAATGGATACACAAATTATTAACTGACTTGGAAACACAACGAAAATAAGGCAGATTTTAATGTTTACAATGTTATAATGGTAATAAATTAGTTTCTCCTGTCATAAAGAGCCAGAATGTTGACAAAAAATATTAGGAGAATTAGATATTTTCGTTGTGCTCTCCATTATACCATAATCTTAAACAGAATAAATACATGAAGACTTGGATTAAGGCAGGCTGTTTTTCTGGTGTTGTTTCTAGCTACCTTCCTTTTCTCTTTCATAGCTTCTGAAAGACAAAAGTCTACATAATAGCACATTTGAAACAAGTTTATTTGTTGTGCTTTTTTTTGGTTCGTAATATAGCTTTGGTCTTAAATAGCTACTTAGGTTTTGATTTGGAGTAATCAAACTGGGATTAACATGTTACATGGACTTGTAAATATACTACAATCCTGTTGTGCTGGTAGATAGTTAACAACTGGTTCTAAAAGAGAAAGCCCTGATTTGTAGCGTTTGCCCATTTCTGTGGTGTAAGTACCTCCTATGGCTGATTTTAAGCTCCTATTGTGATGTCATTAACAGCTGGGAAATGACTAGTGCACAATCAGCCCTCCGAAGCCTAAAAGAACGAACGCTCACACATCTTTTAAACTTCCAGTCTGTGAAAGTCTCTGCAATGCATATACACTGCCACCCAGTGGCAGGAGAGGGCCAAAGGCCCTTAATAGGATGCCCTCAGCGTTTACTGACTGTTTAATTTCAAGAAATATTTTTAAAGCACTACTTACTAGGTGCAAAGAAAGAAACCTAAAAAAGAAGGGAAATAACTTTCACTCTAACTACAGGAATAGTATAGTCTCACAGTCCTGTACAGTACTATAATAAATATGATATACTGACCAGGTGTTGGTGACTCACACCTGTAATCCCAGCACCTTGGGAGGCTGAGGCAGGAGTACTGCTTGAGGCCAGGAGTTCAAGACCAGCCTGGGAAACATCACAAGATGCTGTTTCTATAAAAACTTAAAAAATAAAAAATTAGCAGGGCATGGTAGCTTGCACCCATGGTTTTGGCTACTCAGGAGGCTAAGGCAGAAGGATCACTTGAGCCCAGGAGGTGAAGACTATAGTGATACATGATTGTGCTACTGCACTTCAGCCTGGGTGACAGAGTGAGACCCTGTCTCTGAAAAAACAAAGCTAAATAATTTGCATGTAAACCCCAAACTGGAGTAAAATATACTTAGAACAAACTAATGAACCAAAACAAGTTCCTTGATATCTATGAAAGTCTTACTTTACTCTTAACTAGTCTCATTTTGACCTGAATTTTTTATCCTCTTTGATTACAGGAAATATTTTCTTTTTCTATAAATTCACCCATTCTCAGACAACCTGTGTCAATCACTCTCTATCTCTATTCCAGGAGATAGAGGCAGGCTGCGGAAACTGGGGAGGTAATCAGGACCCAGATAGTGATTTTTCAGCCTAAATTCTATCCATTGCTTTGGATATTTGTCATTCGCTTCTTTCCGGTAAAGGTAGATTGTCAGGCAGGGGTCAAAACTTTATTTGGGGTTTATGATAATTTACAGATAAAGGTGATAATAATTTCAGTGGGTGTTTACTGCTTACACAAAACCAATTACTATCATATATGGGAACATATATGAGGCTCGTTATTGCCAACAGTAATCATAGGAATGCTCTTGAGTTACAAAGTATGGTTTCCCTGGGAACCAAGAACACTCCTGGGAATTCCAGGTTCCTCAACTTTTGAAGGGCCCTGTATTATATGTATTTGAGTCAAGCTCCAAAATTAAGTGGGATCTTGGGGGTATTGCCACCTGTTATAAGGTATGAATAGACTTCCAGCTGTGTCAATAATGACACTCCTTAATTCTGAGATAGTTTTTCCCCATCAGAAAGCTTTGGAATATTGAAAGGGATTCCATTTTTATTGCCCTGATACTCAAAATAGCGTTAGCAAATAGAATGTTGAAATACAAAGTTAGGTTTTAACTTGTTTTGCCTCTCTGTACATGGTAGATTTATTAGAGTCTTAATAGGGAACGTGTTGTGGTTGCTTTTCTCAAACTCTTAATCATAAGCTGAGCATAGCTTCTCAACCAGTTATCATATTTTATAATTATTTGGCAGAATTTCCCTTTCTTCATCACTAGGAACAAGTTTACAACTTAGACTTAATACATTTTTCCAGTGGATTCATAATCTACATGGGTAAATAGTACAACCACTTTCAATTAGAAATATTTCCAAATTCTGGTGTTATTTGAGAAATACTTTTAAAATATAATTCAGCCTGCCCAAAATTGTGAACATATTTCAGGGGACTCTACATAAGGCTTGGTCTTTGAATCTCTGTATGTTCTCAGTGTTTTCCAATTAGCAACTAGATTCTTGAGCAAAAGGGCAATGGGGAGGATGGGTCTAGTGCTAATTCTTGCCTATGGGAAGGTGGTTAAAATTCTTAAAGAACAGGTGTATCTGCTTTTCAATATGGAGTTTTCATGTGTCACACTGACCACACAGAAAGAAGCAAATCTTGTCCCATCTTATATCTCATCCTTAATTCAAAGGCAGTGGGATGCTTCTCAAACAGAAAAAGAAATGAAGTATAGCAAAGTTTAGTTGAGAAAGAAATGACTACTTCTTCTACCCTAGAAAAAGAAATGGCAACATTGCATAAAATGGCTGTTTTGTCATATTTACTCTTATATTTCTAATGCCTGGCCCAGAGCCCTGCACAGTTAGTTGCTCAATATGTATGTGATGAATACTCACTGAATTCATTAATGGAGATTCACTGAGATTTACATAGGAATTTGTGCCTAACAGTAGAGGAAACAATTCTATTCATGTAAATATAAATCATGTCTTTCTTTTTCTTATTTTCAGTATTTTCTATACAAGTTTCCCAAAGATGTGGACTCAGTTATCATTAAAGTGGTGTCTGAAATGGCTTATCCATGTTCTGTTGTCTCAGTCCAGAATATCATGGTGAGTGCCGGTAACTTGCCAACCTTCTATTATAGAGCATTATATTATTCCAGAACAGATGAAAGAGAAGGGTGGAAAGCATGCCATCTTCTTACTATGTGTTTCCCTTCCAAAACTACCCAACAATATGAACAGTATCTGCGAACACAAGTAGGCAGACTGTGTTTGCAGACACTAATTTGAAGAGGTAAAGAATAGTTAACTCTTCACTAAAATCAACAAAGCAAAGAAGGAAAGGAGGGAGGCAGGGAGGAAGGATCATAACAAAGAATTAGCAGGACCAGGCTGTGGGCTCAAGAAAACTAACATTGAACCTTACCATTTTCTGTCTTTAAATTTTTATTGTAACATTGAGTTCTGTCTCCTGAGGTGTTAATGAAAATTGAAAAAAAGTGTTATACACCTTAAGACAATATTTTTATAGTTCTCTTCAATATATAGTGACTTTGACCTTAGAGGATGAGGCCCCAAGTCTTAGGAAGACTATGTCATGACTCTTCAAGGGGAAAGCTTTGCCTAGTTACTGGCTAATAAGGATCCCCTGCTCTGTAATCCAAGCAGAAAGATGCTGACAGGGCCTGTGTGTGGTATGACAGTGCATGACGTTACGGATGCTTTCCTTCTTATTCCTCATGTGTGCTGCAGTGCCCAGTGTATGACCTCGACCACAATGTGGAATTTAATGGTGTCTATCAGTCTATGACCAAGAAAGCTGCTATCACACTACAGGTGAGACATCGCTTCCGTAGGCATTCTTGCCAATAGCAGTGCTCAATAGATAGTACTGATTGGGCCAGCAATCAAAGGGATGGCCATCCACGATGTGCCTAGGATCTCCTTCCTTTCTGATTGGTTTAAAAACTAATATGACTGGCCAGGCACAGCGGCTCATGCCTGTAATCCCAGCACTTTGGGAGGCCGAGGCAAGTGGATCATGACTTCATGATTTCAAGACCATCCTGGCCAACATGGTGAAATCCCGTCTCCACTAAAAATACAAAAATTAGCTGGGCATGGTGGTGCATGCCTGTAATCCCAACTACTCAGGAGGCTGAGGCAGGAGAATCACTTGAACCTGAGAGGCAGAGTTTGCAGTGAGCCAAGATTGCACCGCTGCACTCCAGCCCTAGGCGGCAGAGTGAAACCCCATCTCAAAAACAAACAAACAAACAACAACACAAATCTAATCAAAGCCTGGGTGATGACAGACAATGCTACTCTGCCAGCTGCCCCTTTTCCCTTGTCAGTCATTAGGAGCCCATGGTGCCATGGGACATGTATCTGACAGCTTGCTCAGAGAGGTAGGGCCGGAAGATTTCAGTCTACTCATTGGGGGTGCCAATTTAGGGTGAAGGTTGTCAGATCCATTTAAAGCCATTAAACATATTCTAATAATCTATACCAGTAACAGTAAACAAATAGGGTCTTCAATTCTGAACAGAATGGACAGATTCAAAAGAATATGGACCATATTTGTGCAGCAGCTTATCTTATGGTATTTATAATTAAATTATTATTTCAATTGTAATTTTATAACAAAAATGTCTACATATCATGTAAGCATATTTTCAAGGAGATTTTGTCCCTGCATTGGAAGAGGTACTTACTTAAAATACCTGCAACTTGATCTGTTCCCTAGGGTAAGGTGATATTGTTTATTGAAAAACACACCAAGAATGAAGAGAAGTTAATTATAATTTAGGTATGAGACCTAAAAATTTCTGTCAGACTTTAACTTTCAAGGGCTTCAGATTTGATATTCCAAATATCTACTCTTGTATTTTAGTATTTCTTTCTTAGCATCCCCGCATTATGTGATCTCACATAAAAACGGACAGAAAAATAACTACAGTAGAGAACTTCAAATTGTACCTCATCAAGGACACTAAATGAATAAAGGGCATGCATATCAGTACCTCTCTTCCTTGGATGTCTTTGGCAATAAATCGTCACTATTCTTTTGGGTCTATGCTTCAGTCTTCAGCCGTTTTCTCAGTGTGCTGAACGTGACACCAGAAGTTTGGAGGGTTTTTTTTTTTCCTGAGATGGAGTTTCGCTCTTGTTGCCCAGGCTGGAGTGCAATGGCGCGATCTCGGCTCACCGCAACCTCCGCCTCCCAGGTTCAAGCAATTCTCCTGCCTCAGCCTCCTGAGTAGTTGGGACTACAGGTGCGCCACCACGCCCAGCCAGTTCTTTTTTTTTTGAGACAGTCTCGCTCTATCTCGAGGCCGCAGTGCAGTGGCGCGATCCCGGCTCATTGCAACTTCCGTTTTCCGGTTTCAAGCAGTTCTCCTGCCTCAGCCTCCCGGGTAGCTGGGACCACAGGCACGCTCCACCACGCCCGGCTGATTTTTTGTGCTTTTAGTAGAGACGGGGTTTCACCATGCTGGCCAGGATGGTCTCGATCTCTTGACCTCATGATCCACCCGCTTCGGCCTCCCAAAGTGCTGGGATTACAGGCTTGAGCCACCGCACCCGGGCTGGTTTTTTTTGTTTTTGTTTTTAAAGACAGGGTTGTAGAACTACAAAGGAGCTTAAAGTTCATCTTGTCAACTGCACTTCCTTCATAGATAAGGAAATGGGAACATAGAGAAACACACTTAGAGTAAGTCAAAGCCAAGATGATAAGTGAGTCCTTTGCCTCCCTAACCTAAATTATTTCTCACTCTAATGGCTAAGTCAATTTTAGAAAAATTATTTATCATTAGATTCTAAAATAAAAACTTAATATGGAAGCGTTAGTTATGAAAGATAGGCTGTTGACATATTTTTTATATGGTGCTTATTACCGTTCTAAGCACTCAAGTAGGCACAAAATTGAAATCAGAAATATGTATCTGTTTACCTTAATTTCTTAGATGTAACAATTATCTTAGAGTGGATAATCTGGAGTAGATCAGGGGTGTGTGAAAGTCCTTTCCGAGGAGTTAGAGGGCAGGGGTGAACTTTATTTTCCTTCTCTTTCCTCTTTCTTTCTGCCCCCACCCCCAGGGACTTTCTCCCTTCTAGCTCTTTCTTACCCACATATCATAAGGTTGTTATGTCTTATGCAGAAGAAGGATTTTCCAGGCGAGCAGTTCTTCGTGGTATTTGTGATAAAGCCTGAAGATTATGCCTGTGGAGGATCTTTCTTCATCCAGGGTAAGAGCTAGCGAGGAACAGTTGGCTACTTCAAAACACCTGAAGGAAGGGAGTGAAAGGGAAACTGAAAGCTCCTCCCTGGTTCCCACTAAGCAAGGGTTAATTCCATCAGCAGTGACTGAGAAAGGCATCTGAGAGATACTTGAGAAAAATAACAAAAGATAGAAAGTAACAGATCTAAAGGTATTATTGATACTACAAAATGTCTTTTCATACCTATCATCTTTTTCAAGCATTGTATTCCCTCAGATCATGGAATATATGTTTGCTCGGTTAGCCCTTTACTCAACAAGTATTTACTACCATGAAGTAATGATCTTACACAGCGGATCAAGGTCCATTCCTTAAGATAGGGGTGGCAGCCAGTAATAATGGAGCTACTTACATTCACCAGTAGTCATTATTTGTACAATGATGTACAAGAATAATTCAGCATTCTCCATCCCAGTTGCTAAAATTATACCTTGCAAAATAGTAAGAAAGCCAACTGCAACAACTTATCCCAATGATAAGGGGTTATGTGAGCTCTTAGGCATAGTACAGATAGTTATGATTAACTACCCAGTAGCTACTTTAAGGGTAGAATAGGCTGATGACTGAAAACATAGACCACCAGCCAGTGATTAGCCACATGTGACCAACACAAAATGTGTTTACGGTTGAGTGTGACATCATTTCCTTGGTATTAATGTTTAGGTGAAATTTCTCCTAGTGTGTTCTTTAACGTCTTGATTATGTGGCTCCAAAATTTTGCCAATGTCAAATGTTCCTTAGTAATCTACAAGCCCTTTGATGACTATATAAGAGGGAAATATTTGCACTGGCTAGAAACAAACCAAAGGAAGAGGTAGCTTCTATTTTCTTCAAATGTCTGTGGATACTAGGGGAAAGGTCCACCCCTCTTCATTGGAGAAGGGAGGCTGCAATCTTATTTGCATCTGTTAGTGCTACCAAAATGGACCCAAGCAAAGGCCAAACTGAGAGTCTAATAATAGTCTCCCTAACCAAAAGGGATTTTAGATGGTTTGAAGGTTTAGGGGTTAGAGATTCCTCCAGTTCTTGCTAAAATAAGATTCAGCAACTAGAGTTAATTCTGGACATTTTTTTGAGCAACTGTTCAGACAAGAGACCAAAAAAATCATTAAATGATTCATTGTGCTTGTTTTTTGTTTGTTTGTTTGTTTAACCAGAAAAGGAGAACCAGACCTGGAATCTACAGCGAACAAAGAACCTTAAAGTGACCATTGTTCCTTCCATTAAAGGTCAGTGTTGGCTCCAGAATGAAGAGGAGAGATTCCTGTGTCAGAAAATCAGTCATATAATTTGATATTACTGTCATCCTTCCTGAGAGAATTGTCATGAGAAAACTAAAGTATATTTACCTTAGAAATGGAAAAGCATTTTGTTAAATCCCTCCCAAAAAGAAAGGGAGCTCAATCATAGAGTTGTAGACAGGCAGTCCCTTCCCAGCTTCTACTGGGAAGTAATCACCGTGAAAGGTCCTCACTGTGGATAATGTCTGGGGATCTCCAGTAGCAGTTTTGCTGTGAACGGAAATTTCTTAGGAGTTAAGAGTCAGTATGATGGAGGCAGGCCCTTTAAGCTGTCCTGTCTCAGACATAGTCTTCTTTTCCGCCAAAGACAACCTGACCAAAGTTGTTTCTCTCCCTTCAGAGTCTGTGTATGTGAAATCCAGTCTTTTCAGTGTCTTCATCTTCCTGTCTTTCTACTTGGGATGCCTGCTTGTTGTATTTGTTCATTACCTGAGGTAGGTCAAACATTTCTAGAAATGTTAATCCTCTATGCCTGTCTCTGTATAATGCTTGAAGCACAGACTTACAGCCATATTGACTGGCTTCAAATCCCCTTAGCCAGTAGCGGTATGACCTTGGACACCTTGCGACCTTGGAGACGTTGTTCAACTCTCTGTTCTTTGGTTTCCTCATCTGTAAAGTGAGATAATAATTTACCCCACAGAATGTATACAGTGTTTATATCAATAATACACATACAATAGGTGCTGGTAGAGTGTCAGTTATTTTCATAGTTAATTAAAACTCAACAAAAAGGCAATTTGTATACCTGAAAATACTCACTGTAGAGGGTCAGTTTTTCCTGACATGGAGACTTAGAAGCAACTTTAAACATTCTATCAAAAAGTAAATGTAATGCTTAAAATAAATCTTGAGGTGCAACAAAAAGCAGGAGTAATGTTCTTTGATGTAACATTACCAAGTGCTTTCCTGCTGTCATAACATCAGTTTTCCAGTAAAATGTCCCTTGTGGGGGAAGGGGGATAATTGCGCTAATTTAACCAAGGAAATGTCCTTTCCCAAGAGTTTGGAGCCTCTGATGGCACAAGGCTTTCTTTGCCTCTCTCAGCAGGGTTGAACCTTAAGAATTCCATTCTTTGTGGCACTCTCTGTGAAACCACTACAAAAGAATGGCAGGAGATTTACAATAAACAAATGTTCTTTCTCTTCTTGAACATGTAAAGAAAACAAAGCCAGCATTGAGTTTTGAGACTGTTTGCAAAATGAACTCCATCCATGGCTATCTCAGTGATACAATTACTTTTCTTAAGAATATGGGTCCATCTCTGACTCAAAAAATCACTCCCTCGATGACTTGTATGAAACTTTTGAGTTCAGATATTGCCTTCAAAAACAGTAGATGACTGCTGGCCAAATCTAGTACCAAGTTGAACAAAAAAAATTATTAAGAATAATGAATTATAGACCGTTGGAAAAAATAGTAATGTATGAGTCCCTGTTGATAAAGGAAGGAAGGGCCTAAACACCTGTGGATACAAATTCAGCGATTCAACAAATTTATGAAAACAGGTACCCATCAGGGCAAGGAGCCATTAGCAGATACTGGTAATAGAAGGGAGAAAGAACTCTTGCCTACAGCAAAATGCCAAAAGCTGGCTGGTAAATTTGGAGGATTGCTGGAGTTGGAAAATGATCATTTTGCAAACATCATGTTTAAGACTAGATTTGCTTAAGAATCATTGATGAATGCCAAATCTAGGGTGCAGAAATCTGATGAGGATGAAGATGAGTGCATGGCCTTCAAATGTATCCTCACAGATTGTTTAGTAGTTATAAGTGGAAAAAATAGTAGCTTTACAGTGAGAAATCAAACATATTGACTAGGTGATCAAAATTATTATCACTAAGGAGAAGATGGACACTGTGTGCCTCCAGATGGACACTCTGAGAAGGACATGATGACCCTTTGGCAGCATTCCAGAAATGCATATTTGGAATCTAATCATGGGGGAAAATTAGACAATGCCCAATGATAAACATTCTATTAAAATGTGTATAAAGGACAAAGAAAACTTATGAAACTATTCCAGGTTGAAGGAGACTAAAGATATGTTACAATGGAAGACAGTACTTGATCTCAGATAGGATCTTACATTACACTAGCAGAAAAATATACAGTAAAAAACATTATTGAGTCAATTGACAAAATTGGAATACAGATAGTAGATTAGCTAAGAATATCACACCAATGTTAAATTTGCTAAATTTGATAACTGTATTGTGGTTATGTAAGAGAATATTTTTTGAAATATTTAGGAATAAGAGTTCAGGTCTTGGTTGTATGCAAGTTACTTTCAAATGGTCCAGGAAAAAAAAGTGTGTGTATGTGTGTGTGTATCTTGTTACATATATATCATATATACATACAAAAATTAACACGAAATGGATCAAAGGCCTAAATATAAAACCCAAAGCTGTAAAACTCTTAGAGAAAAATATTGATATAAATCCTTGGATTAGACTGGTTTCTTAAACATCAGAAGCACAAATTAAACAATTTTAAAATAGATAAATTGGGCTTTATAAAAATGAAAGCTTTTGTGTTTTAAATAACAGTATGAAGAAAATGAATATACAACCTACAAAATGGGAAGAAAATATTTGCTCTCTCTATATGTATACATATAAATATATATATATAGAGAGAGAGAGTCTAGTATCCATACTATATGAAGAATTCTTACAACTCAATGATAAAAAGACAACCCCATTTTTAAATGGGCAAAGGATTTAAACATAGAGTTATCTCATGTTTAATAATTCCACCCCTAGGCATATACCCAATTTAATTGAAAACATATGTCCACACAAAAATTTGTATACAAATGTTCATAACAGTGTTATTCATGATAGCCAAAATGTGAAAACAACCAAAATATCCATTAAGTGCAGGCATATCAATGGAATGTGGTATATTCATACAATAGAATATTATTCATCCATAAAAAGACTGAAGTACTGATATATACTATAGCATGGATAAATCTGGAAAACGTTATGCTAAGTGAAAGAAGCTAGACACAAAAGTTTGCATGTAATATGATTGATTTTTAATGAAATGTTCAAAATAGGCAAATTGATAGAGACAGAAAGTAGATTAGTGTTTTCCAGGGGATGGGGAATAGGGATTTGGGATTTCTTCTCTTATTTGTTCTTCACAGTCACGTTGCCAGACATTGAGTCCAAACTGCCCAATCCAGAATACTCATCCTTCCCTTTGATTCTTGAATTCATTATCTATTACCACAACAATGCTACATTAAAAAAAAAAAAAAAAAAAACCACTTCAGTGGCACACAGCAATACATGTTTAGGTTTGCTCACAAATCTATGGGTCAGCTGGATGGTTCTGTAATCTGGGCTGGGCTCAGAGATCCCGGGTGGGAGTGATCATAGAGTGTGGTCCACTGGCAGATCAAGTAGGAGCTAGCTGGGCTGGCCTCAGCACTTGCCTATCTTCCTGAAGCAGGCTAGCCCAGGCTTATTTGTTTCCAAGAGAGACAGCAGAAGAGTGCAAGGCCTTCTGGAGATGCAGGTTCAGAATTAGCATGTTACTTGCCCTCATTCAGCTGGCCAAGATAAGTCATGAGGATAGTCTAGATTCAAGAAATGAAGATGTAGACTCTACCTTTTGGTCAAAGGAGCTGGAAACAAAGTGAGGTACAGCCATTTTGCAATCAATCTACCATAGTCCTCATTTACTAGTTTTTCCTTTGTTCACCTGATACCACCTGCCTTATCCTAGCTTTGTAAATCATTCAACTACTCTAATGAAAAATCTTGTCAGTTCACCAAAATCTAGTGCAAATGTGGGTAAAGCCTGTGAATACAAACACATAATCTAAACATATCATCTTCTGTGAGTCCATACAATTGCTTTCCAATCGATTGTTAATTAAAATTGTTAAAAAGGAACTTCACCACAGCCTCATTTGCCAGCTATAATGGTCAAGCCAAATCATAACTCTTCTGGGGATGATGAAAATATGCTAGAATTCGATAGTGGTGGGAGCTATACAACTTTGTGAATGTATTTTCTTGGTGTGAAACTAATTGTGGTTTTGCCATTATTTTTGAAGGCAAAAACCGCAACTACTTTTGCACTAATCTAGTATTAAAACTCACTAAATTATACACTGTAAATGGTGAATTTTATGGTATGTGAATTACATCTGAAAACTGATGAAAGAAGAAATGATGTATATGCCTGAGAATAAAATTGCTGGGATATGTGGTAACTCTGTTTAACTTTTTGAGAAACTGACAAGGTTTTCCAAAGTGACTGCACCCTTTTACATTCCCACCAGCAATGTATCAGAGTTCCAATTTCTCCATATCCAAAGACGCGTTTTTAAGAGATCCTATCAGACAAACCCGCAACAAAATCTATAGGGAACAAAAATGTAAAATGCTGAGGTTTTTGCTGTCTTAGTAGTATGTATATGTGCTTGTTTGCAGGTTTCAGAGAAAATCCATTGATGGAAGCTTTGGGTCCAATGATGGTAAGAGCAATGCTTGGTTTCATTTCAAAATGGTGTCTCATAGTGTGACAACATTCCATTTCGTGCTTCTTTTACCTTTCTGCCTTTTGCAATTTACAAACCCTCCCTAACCTACAATCTTTCTGTGGAAAACAGAGCTAGTGAAAACCACTTCTATAGTTCAAGGGGTCCCAAGCCCTAGGCCATAGACTACTGGTACCTGGTACTGGTCCGTGGCCTGTTAGGAACTGGGCTGCACAGCAGGGAGAGATGAGTGGCAGGTGAGGGAGCATTGGCACCTGAGTTCCGCCTCCTGTCAGATCAGTGGCAGCATTAGAACTATGAATGTGAAGGATCTGGGTTGTGTGCTCCTTATGAGAGTCTAATGCCATATCCCATCCCCACCCCCGTCTGTGGAAAAATTGTCTTTCATGAAACCAGCCCCTCGTTCCAAAAATATTGAAGACTGCTGCTGTAGTTGATAATTATTGACATGTGGAGCTCACACTAAAAACCTTTACTAGGAGTGTCCCTTATCATCACAGATCATTGGTCAGCCATTCGTCTTTTTTTAAAGTTTCACCTTTTCTAGGACAGAATTGTTCATACCTGTCCAATCCCAAAGCTGATATGTGAACAACAGTAAGAATGTATTGTATTGACTCTAATACAGAGTTTACTTTTCCCAAACTGAAATAGAGGCTTTTTTAAGTGTCTAGAAAACTGAAATATTTGACACTAGCAAGTATAATAAAAGTATAATAACTTGGGGGAATCCAGAGTAATTGAATATCCAGCGATTGTAATATATTCTTTCCTCCACTCTGAGAGTTTGTATAAAGGAATTCAATGACCTGATCTTTTTAACAAACTTAAAAATGTAAATGTCCTCATTTTTGAAAAACCTAAACTCAGTGCTCATAAGTTATTTGGCATAGAGCAAGAATTTGGTTAAAAAGGAATATGAAGTGGAACTTGGGTTTCAAGTCATACATCACAGCTATTTAGATGTGTGTTTTCCACACTTAAATGAGGCCATAGAATCTTAGAAAGACTCAAACTCACTCCCTATCTCCCTCTACCAGGACTATTGCTCCCTTTGCTGGAGAGTTTGCTTTTTTTTTTTTTTTAATGTTTGTCTCTCTAATGTCAGCATGCCTGTTTTTCCAGCCACCCAAGCGCCTTGTTTTATAAACATTCAGCTGTCAATATAAAAGACTGTAAAAGAACACCTGCTGTCATGGCTTTAAAATGCTAAATGCTCCTCTCCCTTTTAGTTGTCAAATGTTTAAATGAATTTGTCTGCTCTCTGGATCTCATCTTTTTGCCTACGTTGCAAAGTCATTTTATTACAATAATATTTATTAAAGAAATCTGCATTCAGAAGGGCCTGCTGAACATTGAAGTATAGTGAACAAAGCTGAGACTTGAGCCAGATCATTTTTGAGGTTCAGGAAGGCTCTGAAAATTAACTAAGAGCTGGAGGTACCCTTCTGATGGTAAGCGGAAACAAATGAGTGACCGAAAAGAGTAAAGATGCATCATTAAGATTCATGACTGCAAGTAACAACAGCAACAGCAAAATATATCTCAAACATGCTTAATCAAGAGACTCCTAGCTCTGGAAGTTGAGCTGAAAGACGGACTTCAGGATTGATGAGTCCAGTGGCTCTGGTCCATTTCGCTGCCATTCCCTTGGCTTCACTTTACTCCCAGGGCTGGCAGTGAGATGGGTCAAGGCTCACACCTTCACCTGACAACAGCAGAGGGATCCTTTTCAGAACCCTCAGCAGCTTCTTGTGTTTCATTGGCCTAGAGTGAATTATACACTTATTGTTAAACCAGTCTCTGCCAAGAACAGATTTACCTACATATCAGATAAACCTTTTAGAATTAAGGTGAGGTCTTCTTCTCTAAGACCAGAGCTTCTCAAACTCAATATTTTGGCATTATGGGCCAGAAAATCCTTTGTTGTTGGGGGCTATTCCATACCTTATCGGATGTTTAAGAGCATCCTTCACCTCCACGCACTAGATTCTAGGAGTTGCCCATCCTCAGGGCAACTCAAAATGCCTTCAGGCTTGGTGCAGTGGCTCATGCCTGTAATCCCAGCGTTTTGGGAGGCTGAGGTGGGAGGATTTTTGGGCCTAGGAGTTTGAGACCAGCCTGGGCAACATAGTGAGACTTTGTCTCTATAAAAACAAAAAATTAACAAAATTAGGTGGGCGTGGTGGTGCGCACCTGTGCTCCAACTACTTCGGAGGCTGATGTGGGAGGATGGCTTGAGCCGAGGATGTTGGGGCTACAGTGAGCTGCGATCACACCACTGAACTCCAGCTTAGGTGTCAGAGCAAGACTCTGTCTCAAAAAAAAAAAAATGCCTCCAGACATTGCCAAATGTCTTTTGGGGGACAAAGCTGTTTCTCCACCTCCCCCTGTTTGAGAACCACAGATCTAAACACATGAGGACACCTTAATAAGATGCCAGCTTAGGTAGGAAGTGGAGAATAGGAAAGTTCACCACAAAGGAAGAAAATAAGGAACCTTTGTAATATAGACAGGACACAAGGAATGATGGCATCACCCCCAATGTCACCACCACTAGTGAGTCAAGACCTGGATGCTTAAACCAAGGGCAGAAGACAAACTCTGTCCAACGGAATAACCCGTGATTTTTTTTAGGCATCTCAAACAGAGCATTGAGAAACCAACCAGGAGCAAGAGACAGAGGCATGAACCATATCTGGAAGCTAAGGAGAGACATGCAGGGAAGAAGCAAGGACACAGAAATGTCTTTCTCTCCCAAGACCAGGATCAGTGTGACCATGGGGCATGGGAATTTCAATGGAGCTCAGAGTTACAGGAAGGGCCCTGGTGCTTATGTCTAGAGAAAATGCTAGAAGCAGCTTCTAAAAGGGGAAGAGGATCCCACTAGACTTAATATAGTGTCTACCCACATCACTGTGGAGCTAGATATCTATGGAACTTAGCCTAATGTGTTCACCTTAGACGTGGCTGAAGTGGAAGAAATGGAGCCAGGTCCCTACATGTTGCCAAATTGATGGCGGCTCTGTCGGAGTCAGGAAGGGTGCACTCAGAAGATCTGTGGGCTACTCTGCGTTTGTTTTTCTTTGATATGACTGCAGTTATTTAATGAAGCTGTATGTGAAAAGTCTCAGTGTTGGCTCCAACTACACTAAAAAGCAAAAGAATGTGTTTCTTACTTGATGGGATGAAGAAGACGATTAGACCCTGCAGCCTGGATGAGATGGCAATAGTGTGGGCAAAGAGCTGCTCCAGGGACGTTGAAGGGACTTTTTTACTGAACTATGAATGACTGTCTAATCATCACTTAGTACCAGAGACAGGGTATCTGCGAGACTCTGAGGGGTACTAAGAAAGGCTCTGTGCTCTAAAATCATTTCTTTCACTGGCTCCATCAGAGAGAAACCCCACATTTCACATCACTGTTAAAGAGCCTCTACAGAAATTTAGTTACCAACTGAGAAGAATAATGAAGCCACCCCAACAGGCCTCTGGGACCACTTGAGTTGCCACCAGGAACTGGGGTTACAGCAGAAGAGGAGGTTACTTTCTCAAGTGCAAGAGCCTGACAAGCCTAATCAGTTATAGATTTAGGAACCAAAAAGCCAACCCAGCCATTCCTTGGATAGAGCCATTATTGAACCAGCCTCTTTGCCAAGAGGAATGTCTGGTGGGGAAAAGACAAGGGGAGTGCTGAGTTTGGAGGACTCAAAAAACATAGGCCATTCAGTGGCAGGAAGTCTCAAATTCAAGCCCTAGATCTCTACTCTTCTTTTTCTAGTTTTCCTGTCCAGCTTTTCCTTCTAGAGGAATTTTACTTTTACATCTATCTGCAAAGATGAATGGTTTTCTTCATTTTTTCTTTGACTGTTGAAACAAAACATGACACTAAGTTGGGATAGGTAGGCAAATGGCATAAAAATTGAATTTCAGCTGGGTGCGGTGGCTCATACCTGTAATCCCAGCACTTTGGGAGGCCGAGGCAGGTGGATCACAAGGTCAGGAGATTGAGATTATCCTGGCCAACATGGTGAAACCCCAACTCTACTAAAATACAAAACATTAGCCAGGTGTGGTGGCACGTGCCTGTAGTCCCAGCTACTCGGGAGGCTGAGGCACGGGAATCACTCGAACGAGGGAGGCTGATATTGCAGTGAGCCGAGATTGCGCCACTGTATTGCAGCCTGGTGACAGAGCGAGACTCCAGCTCAAGAAAAAATCGTGGCAGCTAGTTTCCATCATTTCTGACTCCCTCTTCAGCTTCCACCCTCTTGAGTCTTCAGAAGCAGAATGAGACAAGGCAACTATAAATATGAACCCCCTGAAAGATGCAAACATGCTCAAAATGAAAGGAAATTTTTCTCCTCACATAGGGCATTTAACATAAAAAGCAAGCATGAAAGCTTATCCTGTTCTATGTCAGTGAAGTAGACAGATGCACGGGCTAAGCTCAGAGAAACACATATCAAAACAAGTTTCCTCATTAAGATGAGCTCATTCACAATCGTATGTGTCTGCTATTTCCAGCCAGAACATCTTGGTCTGTCCCATAAACTGATATTTTGTGTTTAATTCTGCTTTCTATGTACTATACAGTTAAATATGGATATGGCTCGCCTTCCCAGACCATACCGAAGTTTAGAAGGAAGTGCCTTGGTTTTTGCATTCTTAAATGGCTTTAGACATAAGCAAAATGAAAAGAATGCTGTTATCCCATGTTGGCCAATCTCATATTTAAATGGTGCATATAGAAGTCCGCAGAGAGAAAACATTTTTGCATGCTGGCAATTGCATTGCAACGAAAATCTTGGTGCTCTTGTCCATCACAGAAGGCATGGTGTCGCAGCTGCCTCAAAATGAACAGAGCCAGCAACAACATCAAAACCAGATCACTCTCAGTGATGAGCCAGAGCAGAAAACAGAAATCAGTGATTCATCAAAGTCTGAACAGACCTACACAGCTGGCTTTGTCTTTTTAATGAAGTTGTCACCTAACAAAACAGTGATTGCTTTTCTTTGTGCTTGCTTTGATTTTAGTTTTTGGTTTTTGTTTTGCTTTCGATTACACGCACACACACACACAGAACATTGGCTCCCACGAACCATTTCGACCTCCTGCTGCAACTGAACTCTAGCGTTTTCCTACACACACTTCTACTTCCCATATCAGAGGGCTTCCAGTAACACCAAAATGTGCTATGTGCATGTCATATCAAAGCATCACGCTGTCATCTCAGTATATACAATTAAAAAATCATTTTTTTATAAAAAGAAAATAAGTTTTCACTGAGACCAATACAATGAGTCACTGTCCATCCACTATCTGACTGACTGGGCAAACTACTTGATGTCTGAGCATCTCCCTTTTATCATCTTTAAAATGGTGATGATAATATCAACAACCTCCTAGGATTGTTGCAAAGTTAAAAGAGTAAATTCCTGGAAAGAGTTTACACGACTGTCCTACACAGTAAGTCTGCAACAAACATCAGTCAGTCGTAGTATTAGGTAGTACTGGCAGCAGCAATTGCAGCAGCTGCAGCAGTAAAGCTCTATGCTGTCACTGTGGCCAAATCTGTTCTAAATCAAAAAGAGTCAGACAATTTGCACACAGCATCTTCATGTGGCACTGTTAGTGTGCTCAAAAGATTTGATCTCTCACACTTAAGAGCCTGAAGATAGGCCGGGCGCGGTGGCTCAAGCCTGTAATCCCAGCACTTTGGGAGGCCGAGGCGGGTGGATCACGAGATCAAGAGATCGAGACCATCCTGGTCAACATGGTGAAACCCCGTCTCTACTAAAAATACAAAAACATTAGCTGGGCATGGTGGCACGTGCCTGTAATCCCAGCTACTCAGGAGGCTGGGGCAGGAGAATTGCCTGAACCCAGGAGGCGGAGGTTGCGGTGAGCCGAGATCGCGCCATTGCACTCCAGCCTGGGTAACAAGAGCAAAACTCCGTCTCAAAAAAAAAAAAAAAAAAAAGAGCCTGAAGATAACCTGTTTCTTTGACTTGAAGTTGGATGAAAAGCATAGATGGCATTGATGACATGTTACGTACTTAAGCGTTAGCCCAAGAAAAGCCAGGGAACACCAAATTTCTCTAAAAATAAATTTAACAGGGGATCTCCAAGCCTAGTAACAGTGCCAGGGAGCATGCATTCTGAGGGCCACAGTCTGCATTTTGAAGGCCACGATCTGTGTGCTGAGGGCCCTGGGAATAGCTTAGGCTGCCAAGAATGCTGCATTAGCCAAAAGCCTTGCCGTCCAGCTGAGCCAACTCTTGGCTAAACCACCAAAGAAGAAAAGAAATTGGGCCTCCAAGGCCATTGCATTTTTCTTTCATCAAAGATAACTAAAGGGTAAGTCCAAAACCTGGCTAAAGGTTTTGAACTTACACTTCAATTATTATTCCTCATGGGGGAAATTAATGGACACACAAACAAAATTTAAAACATGATAAAAACCTACAAAGTTGGCTTGCAAAACAGAATATTTTTATTGCCCACCAGTGGAAATGATGGCTGTGTCTCAGTAGAACCGAAACATAAATACTGAAATTTGGATTTCATATAATTTTTACCTGTCATGAAACATTATTCTCTTTGATTTTTTTCCCCAATCATTTAAAAGTTTAAAAAACCCATCTTAGTTGACAGAAACAGGCGGCAGGCTAGATTCGGCATATGGGTCATAGTTTTGGTGACTCTTGTATTAGCGTAAAAAGAAAATCAAACTTAAAATACTGTGGCCTGATGATTCAGGCTACTTAGAATTGTATTGTGTTGATTTGTTTTAGCAACTGGACATAAAGTGTTTGCCTCTTTACTCTTTTTAACAGACTCTGGAAATATGGTGGCATCTCATCCCATTGCTGCCAGCACACCTGAAGGGAGCAATTATGGGACAATAGGTATGTTCTACCAGGTCTGTTCATGAAAATGTTTCCTAATTCTCTAGAGAATATGACAGAAAGGCCTTCCAGACACTAATAATTGGGAAAGTGGGCAAAGCAGTTATCTAATGAAATTGTCTTTTATTTGTAAGATGAGTTGGTTGGAGATTTGGAGGCTTCCTCCCAGCTCCAACTTTCTCTAGTTCTGTTGCTGCTTCTTGGCTCTGCTAGCCCCATTTGTGCAGAATTCCTTCAGTGGTTGTCATCTAATACTAAGGCCCCCTAGGGACTCTTTCATATCCTGCCTGGGTTTAGGGCATGAAAGATGTGTTCCAGGGAGCCTGACATCAAATGACCAGTTGTTTCATTCTCAGGTTTCAATGGAGTAAGGGGCGATCAGAAGACTGAGGCAGTGCTGCAGGTGAACACGGCTGTAGCCTACCAACCCTTCATTTTGGCTAACTTCATAATCAGACCTGCTCACTGCCACCCAGTCATTCACATAGCAAACCCCAGTGTTCCTTAAGTGGCCTGAAAACAATGGAATCCTAGACCTGTCCTGTTAGGGTAGAAGCACATTGAGCTGCCTGCCCTTCTATATTGCTTGTGGACCTATGAATGGTGCTCCTTAAAATGTCAGTGTAGAGGGACTGGGAATCCTGTATTCCTGCCCTATTATTCTGTGACTTCGAGAAGCATGTGGGCTCAGTGCAGGCTGCTTATTTTTAGTTCTGTAAGAACAGGATTTTTTTAAAAACCATCTGAACAGAAGAAATAAAGCGGAAGGTAAGCTCAGCTCATGTGCTCATCAAGCTGCACAAATCCCCATCTGCTCTGGGAAACATTCACGGGAACAGAAGGATTCTTCTTCCTGAGAATGTTGTTTTCATTATATAATCATAGATATGGCATGTGGGCGATTTCTGTGTACAAATACTTTACCCATGAGAAAAGTATAGCTGTTAGCTATGTGTGGGTTCACACATATATGCAATAGATGCTATACATAGCTATGTGCATGCGTATGTTTATATATTTATGTTCATATTTTAATATATGAAACATGAAATATAAGTACAATATTATTTTTGCATCCAAATAGTTAACAGAGAAGATGCCCTTAGATTCTAGTATGTGGCCAGTCCCGAAGATAGACAAGTTAAATATAAAAACAGGAGAAGAGTAAAAATAAAAGTCCATTGAGAAGGAGTGGAGAGAAAGAACATGTCTTGCAAATAAGGAGTTCATTTGGATCAACACAGTGTTTCCTAGAATGAGTCTGTGCTGTGCTTTTTGCAGAGAGGAATGGGCTCCGTAGGCACTCCATGGCTTTTGAAGGCAGACAAGTTGTCTCTGTTTCAGATGAGTCAAGCTCCAGTCCTGGAGGGCCGATGTCCTCCCCCGACGGTGGGCCACCGGGCCAGTCAGACACAGACAGCTCCGTGGAGGAGAGCGACTTCGACACCATGCCAGACGTTGAGAGTGATAAAAACATCATCCGGACCAAGGTACCCACTCTACCTCACCATACTCTTTGAGAGGGCAGAAAATTTGGCAGTAGAATAAACTTCAGCAATACTTCAGTTTCCTTTATTTTTTTTCCTTCAGGGAAAGTCAAATTTCCCAGAAGGCTTAAATCAAATGTACCTGCAGACTACCAGCCATACTCTGTTAATTCGCGCCTTTTTTCTTGAGGAAGAAAGTGAGCACATTAAAGAGCACAGGGCATTAAAACACTCTCTAGGTCTGAAGTGGCTGACTGTGGACAATAAAGGATGAAGGATCCAACCAGATGGAAGAAAAGATTCATTTGAGGAGTGCACTGGGGAAAGCTCCCTGGTTCTGTGCATATCATCTTTCAGGAGGAAGGCTCATTTCTTTCTGGCATGTATTTATTATTTTGTGTCATATCCAGTAAAAGATATGAAGGTGAAATGCACAGTTTCAGCCCTATACAATTCAAGAATCATACAGTGGGCAGAGCTGAAAGCTGTATAGTCAATTCTTTTTTTTTTTTTTTTTGAGACAGAGTCTCGTTTTGTCGCCAGGCTGGAGTGCAATGGCACAATCTCGGCTCACTGCAACCTCCACCTCCTGGGTTCAAGCAATTCTCCTGCCTCAGCCTCCCAAGTAGCTGGGACTACAGGTGCGCATCACCACGCCCAGCTAATTTTTTGTATTTTTAGTAGAGACGGGGTTCACCATGTTGGCCAGGATGGTCTCCATCTCCTGACCTCGTGATCTGTCCACCTTGGCCTCCCAAAGTGCTGGGATAACAAGCGTGAGCCACTGCACCCGTCCCAATTCTTGACATATAAGAAGCACTCAAGACTCTCAGTGGTTGCCCACATCAGCCAATCCTTAATATTCCAAGGAAAATACTAGGATTTTTATTAAAGTATCATGGGAAAAGCAAAATTAAAAGAGAATTCTTAAATAATTTTAATCAAGTAAATTTGGTTTACTTTATCAAATTTAGTAAATTGGAATAATTGTATCCCTTGAAGAATTTTAACAATTTTAAATTGAGATATTTGTTAAGTTTGCCTTCGTGTCTCACACATAAAGAGCTGGCACAGTTTTGCATTCTCTTTTTATTTGGCATTCCAGATGTTCCTTTACCTGTCCGATTTGTCCAGGAAGGACCGGAGAATTGTCAGCAAAAAATATAAAATTTATTTTTGGTAAGTAGATGACCATGGTTCCCTTTAGTAAACATAAAGTTTTCTTTGTAAGAGCCACAAGCACTTAGGCACAGGTTTTAGTGTTTAATGAGGTACAGGGGTAGGGGATGATGCTACCAGCTAATGATAAGTAGACCTGCGATGGCCACCCACCTGGACGCAGCCTTTCTCCCAGCCAAGAGGCTGAGCTGCCTTGCAAGGAATCTTCCCTCCCCTCGGAAACCCCCAAGCTGACTATTGCACTCTGTGACAGCTCCTCCCATTATTTTCTCTTGCAGGATGCCCTTTTACTTGCATACAGATCATAGAAGGAAATAAGGGACAATGGGGCCACATGGAATTTCATAGTGGAACCATCAGTTTGGAACTGGGTTGTCTAAGAAACACCACACCCCTTTCATGTGATCTGTCATTCATTACTTGCACACTGATGTTTAATCTAACAACAGCCTAAAGAGATAGGCTCTCAAAAATGAGTTGGTTAAACCATAAGCAGGTTTTACTTACACCGTTTTACAAATGGTTGTAAGAAAAGAAAGAAAAAAGAAACCCTAATATTTGTTGGGTACCAATCATTAACTGTTTTAAAAAATACATTTCAATTAGTATTTTCAGTTTTTGCCTCTGCAACCTAACTATAAGCATCCAAAGGAAGCTTTTCTTTACTTATTTAATTCCCCTCTAGAAAAGATACTGTGTACCAAATGCCCCAGTGCAAGAGGGGAGAGGACAACTAGAGAAACGGGAACCATATATCTTCTGGTTACTTTTGCAAGTTAATTATGGACTTACTGGGTGAAGCATTCTTTAAAAAATATTAACTGAAGACTCCACTGTTCATTTGAAAATAACCATTTCTTGATTTTTCTGCCTTGATAGGAACATCATCACCATCGCTGTGTTTTACGCGCTACCTGTGACCCAGCTGGTCATTACCTACCAGACAGTAAGTGCTGCCCCAACCCCGGAATCCCAGCTTTCTTTCTGCAGGGAGAGTCTTCACCGTGACTGACAGAGAGAGGAACAACTTAGGATCCATTCAGGAATTCCCCGTTGGGGTTACCATTGGAGTTCACCATTGCTTCATCTTTTTTTTTTTTTTAGGCGGAGTCTTGCTCTGTAGCCCAGCCTGGAGTGCACTGGCACAATCTTGGCTCACTGTAACCTCTGCCTCCCGGGTCCTGGTTCAAGCAGTTCTCCTGCCTCAGCCTCCCGGGTAGCTGTGATTACGGGCGTGCGCCACCATGCCCAGCTAATTTTTGTATTTTTAGTAAAGAAGGGGTTTCACCATGTTGGCCAGGCTGGTTGAACGTCTGACCTCGTGATCCACCCGCTTCAGCCTCCCAAAGTGCTGGGATTACAGGCGTGAACCACCTCACCTGGCCTTTTTTTTTTTTTTTTAAGATGGACTCTCGGCCGGGCGCGGTGGCTCACGCCTGTAATCCCAGCGCTTTGGGAGGCCGAGGCGGATGGATCACGAGGTCAAGAGATCGAGACCATCCTGGCCAACATGGTGAAGCCCCGTCTCTACTAAAAATACAAAAATTAGCCAGGTGTTTGGCACGCACCTGTAGTCCCAGCTACTCAGCAGGCTGAGGCGGAAGAATCACTTGAACCTGGGAGGTGGAGGTTGCAGTGAGCAGAGACTGTGCCACTGCACTCCAACCTGGCGACAAACCAAGACTCCATATCAAAAAAAAAAAAAAAAGATGAGTCTCCCTCTCTCACCCAGGCTGGAGTGCAATGGTGCAATATCAGCTCACTGCAACCTCCACCTCCCAGATTCAAGCAATTCTCCTGCCTCAGCCTCCAGAGTAGCTAGGATTACAGGCATGTGCCACCATGCCCAGCTAATTTTTTTTGTATTTTTAGTAGAGACAGGGTTTTACCATGTTGGCTAGGGTGGTCTCGAACTTGTGACCTCAGGTTATCCACCTGCCTTGGCCTCCCATTGCTTCATCTTTAACTTACATTTCCATCTAGTTCCCAATTGTTTTATCACGAAGGGAGCTGCAATCTCTTGTATTATTTTGTCTACCAGTCTAAAATTATTAACTTGTGCTCATTCAGTTATGATATCTATCAACTGCATCTGTTACATAACACTCTGAGCTTTCTGATCATTATAGGATATTGAGTACAGTAAATAAAGTTCCAGACCAAAGCAAAGGAACCTGATGGCTAATCTAGTCTGTGCCTTCCCATTGAAGGTAAATATTTTTTGTAAAATTAAAAACAGCTTCATAGCTGGACACGGTGGCTCACGCCTGTAATCCCAGAACTTTGAGAGGCATAGGCAGGTGGACTGCCTAAGCTCAGGAGCTCAAGACCAGCCTGGGCAACATGGCAAAACCCTGTCTCTACCAAAAATACAAAAAAATTAGCTGGGTGTGGTGGCACACACCTGTAGTTCCAGCTACTCGGGAGGCTGAGGAGGGAGGATTGCTTGAGCCTGGGAGGTAGAGGTTGCAGTGAGCTGAGATTCTGCCACTGCGTTCCAGCCTGAGATGGAGTGAGACCATGTCTCAAAAACAAAAAGAAAGAAAAAAAAGCTTCACGAAACTAACAAAAGATTACAGTAAAAAGAAAATATAAAATTTTTACAGCAAAAATAATATTAAAGTAGTTTAAGAATCCCCATTCCTCCACAGAACCCTAGGCCAAGGTCACTTCAGTGGCCTTCTCTAGAATTTATTACACAGTAGAAAGTCCATTTACAATAGCACAGAGCTGAAGCTATTTCTAATGCAGTGGCGCTCAGACTTTCCTTGCATTAAGGTCACCTAGGAAGCTCTTACAAATCCCAGTGTAAACCATGCCTATTAGATCAGAGCTCTGAGAGAGGAGCCAGGCATCTGTAGTGTTTAAACCCCCAGTGATTCCAATGTACGGCCATGTTTGTGTGTTAAGGGTCTAATAATATTTAATCCATTGCCACACTTATTATGTAATGAGGACAGGGACTTCATGAAGTTTGAGCACCACTGTTTATAATCTAAATATTCTCTGCATACTTTGGGGGACTGTCAGAAGACACACCTGGGCTGTGGTTTGAAAACCTTCTTGACAGAGATGCTTACGAACAGGGAAAGCTGAACACACATCGCCTTGTCTCTACCTAGCTCATGTTTACCAGTTTTACCCAGGAGATGGGACAGCTCTATATCCCCTCTGCATTCATCTAGAAAATAGTGTGACAGTCCTGAAAGGCAGGTCCCAGTGCTAGCCTCCCTTCGTAGTCCTTTCATCATGATAACAAAGGAAACGCATTTGGGTGAATCCACCTTGGAGATGCGTAATGGGGTACACAGAATATTCCCATTCAAAGCAAGTCGGAAGCTTTTTTGAAAAAAAGTGCCTGTGCTGTGTAAGGAGGTAGCTCATGGCCCATCTGTGCAGAGGAGCCCTGGTTACATTGTAAACTAGTGACAGTGCATCTCCGTGAGCCCCGTCCACCCTTTGCGATCTCCGGCTGGGGCTCAGAGGACCCAGGAAAACCACATTTCCTCTTCTCGCTCTTGATTTTACAGGTGGTAAATGTCACTGGCAACCAGGACATCTGTTACTACAACTTCCTCTGTGCTCACCCCTTGGGCGTCCTGAGGTAAACCCAGTCCTCTGGTGGCCCATGAGGCATTTAGAGATGCCCTTCTAATGTTGTGATTTTGGTTTTTTAAAATACTAAAAACAACCATGGAAAATGACCCCATTCAAGGGTAAAGAGGAACTAAACCAAGAAGTTGAGACCAGGTATGCGCCTCTCATTTCTGCATGTGGTTCTCAGGAAACATTCCTAAGCATACAGCCTGCTGAGATGAGGGCAGTGACATTTTTTTAAATGTCAGGTCTCTAGCTGTGGTGACATTTGTTCACAGGCATGAGCTGGCAGCCTATTGTCTCATTCGATCTGCTAAACAACCTCATGAGATAGACATTACTATGACCTCTATTTTTAGATGAAGACAGGTGAGGACTTGCTGAAGGTCCCTCAGCTGCTAAGTAGTGTCAGGACTCAATCCTCCCAGGCCGTGCTCTAGCCACCAGAACTTGGTGACATGGGAAAAGCATTGCCTGGGAGTTAAAAGTCTGGCTTCTTGCTCCAGAGCTGACCCAGCCATTTCCTCAAATAAAGTTGCTGGCTATGATTGGTTGACACTTATCTGAAATTCACAGTTAGAGAGCTGAATATCAACACATACATAGGTCTGCCTGTGAGAACTCAGTCTCACAGTGTAGCTGAAACATTTGCCCATCTTTGAAGCAGCTGTCTTTCCCAGGACTCATACTATACAATATACTATACAAATGCCATCAGGACAAGAGAGGATGGGAGGGCGTTAGGAAGCCAAGCAGGCACGCTTGAGAGAAAACAGACACCTGTTGTCACTGGCTATGTAAGCATCATAAAATGAAGGAATTAGGTTAAGAGGATTTCTAATACTTTTCTGATCCTGAAACCTTATGGAAAGGTTGATGGAAAACACTGATGCTGAGTTCACTCATTCCTTCATGCATCATGCATCCTCTGGGTCCCTTTGACGGCCTTGACTCTCTCATGGTCTCTCACTCATCCCTGTAGTGCCTTCAACAACATTCTCAGCAATCTGGGCCATGTGCTTCTGGGCTTCCTCTTCCTGCTGATAGTCTTGCGCCGGGACATCCTCCATCGGAAAGCCCTGGAAGCCAAGGACATCTTTGCTATGGTGAGGAGACAGTGAGTGCATTCTAGGAAGGGTTAATGGATCCAAACAGGATCTGCAAAGGGAAGGGACGTCTGGCTTGATGGTGTGATGATTTGTTACGTGTAATAAACTACATGAGGCCAGAAGAGGTGGTGGATATGGCTCTAATTAGTATCTATTGACCACCTTTTCTCCTTTTTCAGGAGTATGGGATTCCCAAACACTTTGGTCTTTTCTACGCTATGGGCATCGCGTTGATGATGGAAGGGGTGCTCAGTGCCTGCTACCATGTCTGCCCTAATTATTCCAACTTCCAATTCGGTAATTAGAACTTGTATCTACAATACAGATTTGAATCATGAGTTTTATCCTGGAACCCTCCCCAAAAATGTCAAAGTCATGCCTGCAAGATCAAATGGCATTTTATGTGAGTTGACGTGATCAGAGAGGACCTTCACACAGAGTGTGGCCTAATTGAGCAGTTAGACAGCTTTGCGATGAAAGTTATGGAAAACCCAGTTTAGCTTGGATTGAATAATAGGACGTCCAGATGTAGAAAGGGTTTGTGGTTGATTTATCTGGTGGCTCTGACCTCATTTCTCTGTGATCTCTTTGTACCCAGCCTGTATGTTGGTTTTATCCTCAGGGCTATCTTCCCTGATGGTGGCAAAAGTAGCTATAGCAGGCCTGGGCTTCATAGCTCCTGCCAACAATTCCAGAGGAGGCAGCAAGCTGGCTTCCAGGAGCCTTCAATTAAGAGCAAGAAGCTGCTTTTTGAGAAAGCCACAGATACCATCCCTTCACAACTTAATAGCTTAAATAGTCATAAGCCCATTTTTTTTTTTTTTTTTTTGAGACAGAATCTGGCTCTGTTGCCCAGGCTGGAGTGCAGTTGCATAATCTGCGCTCACTGTAATCTCCACCTCAGGGGTTCAAGTGATCCTTTCCCCTCAGGCTCCCCAGTAGCTGGGACTACAGGCACGCACCACCAAGCCCAGCTAATATTTAATTTTTTGATAGAGAACGAGTTTCACCATGTTGGCTAGGCTGGTCTCGAATTCCTAACCTCAGGTGATCTGCCCACCTATGCCTCCCAAAGAGTTGGGATTACAGGCGTGAGCCACCGCGCCTGGCCCCATGAGCCCATTCTTGAATCATTCTCTAAGTGCTGGTTAGCTCAGGCCCAGGTTGCTTCGCCAATCAGCAGAAAAGGTGGGACTATCTTTAGACCAATCAATCAGCCCCATCCCTGGAGCCAAAGGTGGGATTAGCTTTCCTGAAGCAAAGGGGCTAGGATGGTGTGCATTTCTGAATTGAAAGCGGGTAAACGTTGAGTAAGTATTGAGATGCTGTTAAGAAGGAGGAAGGGAAAAGCTGATGCTGTCTGGCAAGTAACAATGTCCTCCATGCTCAAGGATGAGGGTTTTTTTAAATGGTCATTTAATGTTTGTGCTCTGGCTTCTGGCTGTTAACTCTGAGCACCACAAAAACACTTTTAATAGAGGAAACTACGAGAATATAATATCATTCACCACTCAGAATGAACAGACGTCAACATTTTAAAATATATGCCTTAGCTCTATTTTTTTTTTTTTTTTTTTGAGATGGAGTCTTACTGGAGTGCAGTGGTGCAATCTTGGCTCACTGCATTCTCTTCCTCCCAGGTTCCAGCGATTCTTCTGCCTCAGCCTCCTGGGTAGCTGGGATTACAGGTGCACACCACCATGCCCAGCTAATTTTTTGTATTTTTAGTAGAGACGAGGTTTCGCCATGTTGGCCAGGCTGGTCTCGAACTCCTGACCTTAGGTGATCTGCCTGTCCTGGCCTCCCAATAGATCTACTTTTTAAGGAATAAAACACTATGATAAAGTTGAGGTCCTGTTTTGATACACTTTCAAACTTAATCTCCTCCTTCCTCCCATAAAGGCAACAACCATGATTAATTTGACATTTACTTTTCTGGTTTGCTTTTATAATTTTTCTATATTTGTAGCAAATTAATAGTAGTTTATCTTACTGTGTTCTGCAGCCTTTTTTCTTTCAAGAATATAGTTTCAAGATTTATCAATATTATATCAAAAACATGTAGTTCATTCATTTTAAGGGTTGTCATATTGCATAATAAAAAAAATCACATTTATCAATTCCTCTATTGAACAGCATTTAAATGTTGCCATATTTTGCCATTATGGACAATGATGCAATGAGCATCCTTATATATGCCTCTTCATATGTATGTAAGAGAGGTTCCTTAGGATACCTAGAAGTACAATTTGTTAGTTACTTGGTTTGTGCAGCTTCTCTTTTACCAAAAACTGACAAATTTCTCTCCAGAGCATTAATTCCCACTCCCAATAGCTGTGTGAGACTTCCTATACACCAGATAATTACTAACATTTGTTATTTTCAGACATTTAAAGTTTTCGCTAAGTTTTTGAGTAATATGGGGATATTGCATTGTTACAATTATATGCATTTCCACAATTCAAATACAGCAAGCTACATTTTATTTCTAGCTATTTTCCATCACTAGGCCAAAAAGCTATAAATGTGCAGTAATTAATGTGGTTATATTTCAGGGTGCTGAGAACAACCTCCCACACCCATCTGGGACTCATTTTATTGTCACACTGCCTGCACTGTCACCATTAGGAAATCTTTTGTTATTGTTGTTGAACGGCGGTGTCTAAAACACGTTACCCCTGCAAGTGGGGATAGTTGTTTATCATATCAGACACTCTTCTTCTGTGAAAGAGGAGTTATTTATTTATTAGATGTTTTTCCTCTGTGACCCAAAGGGCAGCCTTGGAGGGGTTTAAAAGTGGAGTACGTGGGGTCTGCCTAGAGAATGTGCCAGGAGGCTGACATGTTAGAGGTCTCCGCACAGTCTGAGGGTAGCAAATAGTCCATGGATTGAAGTGAGGGGGTACTCAGAGGCTGAAGGAAAATCTAGAAACTATCATCTGTCTGTCACCTACTGAATCCTGATCGTCTGGCTCCTCCTTTGGGTCCTCAGACACCTCCTTCATGTACATGATTGCCGGCCTATGCATGCTGAAGCTCTATCAGACCCGCCACCCCGACATCAATGCCAGCGCCTACTCCGCCTACGCCTCCTTCGCTCTGGTCATCATGCTCACCGTCCTTGGAGTGGTGCGTCCCCCACCTTCTTCCACCTGGCTGTCAAAAAGTGTCCCCCTAGGTCCAATAAATAAGCAACAATTAGCTGAACAGGTTTGGATTAACCCAGATCCTCAGTTGATGACACACTTTCATCATTGGCCCACTCATGGCACACTTTTACTTAGTTATTTAGTTGGTTATTTTAAGCAATGTATTAGGCACCTGTAGAATGACCACAGGATAATTTTAATATAAAGCTGGACCTGAGTCATGTGAAAGTGGAATGGGGTATATAAGCTGACTGGAGAGACTGACTTGAAAAAACAGAAACCAGCTTCTAAATATGCGTGGATGACACGTGTTGGCTGTTTTGGTTGTTGGAAGCGCGTGCACCCCCACTTTAGACCTGTTGCCCTTCTCCATTGGTATTCAGCTGCCTCTCCTATTTCTCCCCTTTTCCATTTTTATTTGGCCCAGTAGCCACTTTTCTTTCCCCCATTCACTGGGCAGTAAGGTCCGTGGGAGTTTCTAGAATGGGAGAAAAATAGAATGTGCACACAGCTGTTTTTGACTCCTTACGCATACGGGAGAGAGAATGATTTTGGTGAGTTTTGAAGGGAAAACCCCAGATGAAGGTAACTTCCATCTTTACTCCTAGGTGTTTGGAAAAAATGACGTGTGGTTCTGGGTCATCTTCTCTGCAATCCACGTTCTGGCCTCACTAGCCCTCAGCACCCAGATCTATTACATGGGTCGTTTCAAGATAGGTGAGTTACCTGTTAATTCTATACTAAACACACGAATCAACCTTAATGAAAAAGCAGACATTGCCTTTACTTATGCTGAAAGTGTCACTGGTCACCGTGAACACATGCTCTGAATTCTATGCCATGTTTAATAGCATATATTCTCTCCAAGAGCGTCCTCTCCCTTACAAGATAGCAGTAAGTTATTACCACTAGTTCTATTTTCAGCTGAGAAACTAAGGTTTGCCACACCTCAGAGATGAGGTGTACTGCCAGCCCCTGGTGTCAAACACTTTACAGTCTGCCAGACTGTCACTCGTATTTGCTGAATGGTATCATGCCAGTACTTCCACCTAGAGGAACGTTTTTCAGTTCGCACCATTTGACGGGAGTATTTCTCTAACCATGCTAAATGGCTGTCAAGAATTAATTATATATTTTCAAATTCTAGGGCTAGAACTTTGAGACCAATTTGCCAATCTTGGAGGCAGGACATCTGCTGAGCCCCCTCCAACTTATCGGAGAGCATTGAATGTTTTACAGAAATCAGCTTGCGATCTGCCATTGGTCAGTTATCATATATCGGAACAGATTCAAGTGGTTTTAGAGCATTTAAATTTTTAAAAATCATTTTAAGACCAGGAAGTCAGACTTATATATCCTTTTGTCTATTTCAAGGCAAATTATTATATGTAAACATAGGCAAAACCTCTGATATTAACAAAGCCCAGAGCAAGAGTGCAAATAAAAGCCTGCATAGTATTGCATAGCATATGCATAAGAACATCAAAGTTATAAAGCAGATTATAAAGCTATTAAACACATGAAAGGAGAGAGGGAGGGAGGGAAGGAAAGGAAGGAAGGAAGGAAGGAAGGAAGGAAGGAAGGAAGGAAGGAAGGAAGGAAGGAAGGATGGAAGGAAGGAAGGGAGGGAGGGAGGGAGGGAGGGAGGGAGGGAGGGAAAGAAGGAGGAAGGGAGGGAGGGAGGGAGAGAAGGAAGGAAAAAAATACCTTCATTGCAACCTAGAAGGCCCAGGTTCAAATTTAGAATTCTTGGTTCCTCGAAGAACACTTTTTCCTGCCTCTGGTTATGTCTTAAGGAGTCTCACAGGTGTGTATGCGGCACCCTTGCCCGACATCCAATGTTCATCCACATCCCCAAAAATAGCCACCACTTGGCCATTCCCTGCCCCTAGAGGTGTGCCCTAGTGGTGCCATCTACCCTCAGGAAGATAGACAAGGGAAGGGAAGGGGCTATGCAGGCCCTAGAGCAGGCTTGGAGCCTTCTGGGCAGGTTGACACTTGTGAGGCCCCAGAGTTCAGAATTTCTAGAAGGAAAAGAGGAGTCCCTCGGCCCTGCAGACTCCCCACTCATGAGGGAACGAGGCCTCTAAAACATGGGACCCTCTTGCCCAGGTCTAAGAGCAATTCTACATAAATGAATGGCTTTACAACTAGAAGACCAAATAGGACAACTGTTCATTTTCAACGTTAGTTCTTTTGCCGTGGTCAGTAGAGTGACCTTTGGCACACACAGCCAGTGCACCTCCAAATCCCCCATGACTTGAGCCAGTTGTGTAGAACATTTGGCAGGGCACACTGGTCATGCTCCTCCACCAGACAGAAGGTAAGTGCAGTCACAGAAACTAAACTTTCAAAAGGAAAATAATTGGGAGCATCGTTGTTCTGATTTCTTCCAGAGTTGGAGAAAAATAAACTTGAGTGCAGATATATGCAATGGTAGTGACCACTAATACACAGGGGAGCTTTAATATATTTATACCACCTTTGCCTTATGCTAAATTATCTTATCTTTGCAATGCTAAATTATCTTATCTTTTAAAAGAAGTGGTTACAGATGTACCAGAGTCAAAAGAAAACTTTCTGTTTTGTCGTGACAATGATTGTGTCTAAATTTAGTCCAGAGGCAGGAAGTTGGATTCCCGGACACGGTTCAGCTGACTCCAACCTTTCTACCCATGTCATAAGCTGCCTCTGCTTTCTAATCACATGTCCTTTTTCTGTGGCCCTTCAGGCTACACAAGAAAATAAACATGGACACAGGAAAGGCGGCAGCAATGAGGAAGAACATTTCATCATTAGCTCTCATAAACCGTAGAGCTGCTTCCCCAAATCCCTACTGTGTCGCCCATCTCAGAGCTCTAGAAAAGGACCTCAGGAATTTCTCATGACAGAGGCTGGATGATAAATTGCAAGCGATGCACCAAAGTAGACAGGGAGAGAGAAAACCCTTAATTTGCTTTTCGATGAGTTGAAAACTTCTGAATGTTTGAGACAAGCAGAAAGATCCTGTGTTCTTTTTGACAAGTAAACATCACCTTTACAATCAGAAAGCAAAATTAAAGTTGTCCATCTTGAGAAAAAAACAAAATGACCAGTAGATTACATGTTTGGTTACTTTCTTACACATCTCTCTTTGTTTTTCTCCTTCCCTCTCTGCTTCTTCCTGATTCAGATGTGTCTGACACAGGTAATGTTCAGCCACCCTTTCCAGGGGTCTAGATTGGTTTTGTTTTGTTTTGTTTTGTTTTTAAATCAAAATGACCCACATGGCTGTCCTGCCAGCCCTGCTCCCTGAACACCCTCTTGCAGGCCGGGCCAGCTCCGTGGGGAGAGGGAAGCCAGAGAGAGGGGTGGCTGCACCCACCCTAGCCTGTTCCACGCCTCTTCTGAAATGCCACAGAGACAGGTTTCTCCCTCATGGTTAAATTGACGTGGGGGTAACCTTGAGGAGGAGTAGGATTCACAACAGAGCTGAGATCCACACTCTCGAAAATGTTTGCTTTGGGCAGACCCAGACAGGCATTCAATGTCTGTGGCATGGACAGCTCATAGAAACACAGCCCACCTTTGACCCTGACTGTTCGTGTAACATTATAACACACACATTCACTGCATTTCATATCATCCTTTTAAACTGTGTTTTAAAAAGCTTTCCTGTCTTTTTCTCCCCATCTTAACTCACTTTCCCTTGATGATCGTTTCAGTTCAGATAGACTTTCTGAACATGCTCAGTAGAGCCTAGGATCCTTTAGTTCAATTGTTACTAAATTATAACTGCTTGAGAAATACAGATCCAAACCTTTATAAGTTAAGATTTCCCATCCTCTAGAGAGAGCATCCTCTGAACCTTTACAAGCTAGGATTTCCCATCCTCTAGAGAGATGTTGTGGGTGCCCTCACATCTCTACTATAAAGGACACCCACAACATCTCTGTGATAAAGAAAACACCACCAGGGTAAACCGTAAACAAAGGGAAGATTAGCTGAAGGAGACGGAACAAGGGTCGGCCAGCCACCATGTTATTTGCAAGTGCTAGCTGCTTGTGTCCATCTACCTTGCCTTTCTGCTGTGTGATGCATGGATATGGCATCCCTCCATGACAATATCATTTTTTCTAAGCAAATACTTATTGACGACCTATTAGGTGCAAAGCATTCTAATGCATTTTAATGAAGTGAGGATGACATCATTCTGGCCCAAAAGCTTGGGCTACTTCAGAGTATTTGCATTTTCTCTGACTAAGCCTTCCTACCATGCATTTGTGTTATCAGCAGATATGGGAATTTTCCGGCGGGCTGCCATGGTGTTCTACACAGACTGTATCCAGCAGTGTAGCCGACCTCTGTATATGGTACGTGCATGTTCCTGTGTTCTTTGGCCCTCTCCCAGAAAGTAGGGGAATAGTGGGAGGGACAGGCTTGGGGCAGTCACTCAGGGCTCTGAAAATCAAGAGAGCCAGATGGCTGAGGGTGGCTGAGGCCCAGTTAGTGGGGGAAGGAGCATGGTACTTACTTTTTCATAAAAGTCAAGCTAACATGGTCCCATTTATATAAACAAACTATTTGCCAGTATATAATAAAGAAGAAAATATATCTATCCAACTGTTAGTGATCATTACAGACACATGCTGGGGACTAACACACACTGGGGCCTGTTAGAGGGCTGGTAAAAATAATGAAATTTAAACAAAATAAAATAAAAAAAATGAACAGTGATCATAGCTATGGGGAGGATCGAGCAGAGTACCCCTACAAAAAACCATCCAAAGAGGTACCCTGGTGGAAGTGAAAGCGCACACCACTAATAATCCCCCCAGGCAGCAGGGGTAAGCTGGAAGTTTGGGTAATTATGAATAAGCTGCTATAACATTCATGTGTAGGTTTCTGTGTGGACATAAATTTTCAACTCCTTTTGGTAAATACCAAAGGGAGCTACTGCTGGATTGTATGGCAATCATATGTTTAGTTTTGTAAGAAACTGCAACACTGTCTTCCAAAGTGGCTGTGCTGTTTGGCATTCCCATCAACAATGAATGAGTGTTACTGTTGCGCCACATCCTCGCCAGCATTTGGTGTTGTCGCTGTTTGGGGATTTTAGCCATTCTAATAGGTGAACTCATGTTTTTCTATGAAGTTATTTCCTCCAAATTGGATGGATCACCTAAAAGATAAAGAATTGCTAGTTTTAAATAGATGAGAGGTTATGCAAATAAAACTATTACCAACTCTCTCCTAAAAGTTTTAAGTAGTATGTAAATAACAGGGACAGACTGTGAATAAATTTCTGTCCGAGTAATTGTTATTGATTGATTGATTGAGACAGAGTCTTGCTTTGTCACCCAGGCTGGAGTGCAGTGGCACAATCTTGGCTCACTGCAATCTCCACCTCTCAGGTTCAAATGCTCCTCAGGCTTCAGCCTCTTGAGAAGCTGGGCTTACAGGTGTGTGCCACCACATGTGGATAATTTTTTGTATTTTTAGCAGAGAGGGGGTTTCATCATGTTGGTCAGGCTGATCTTGAACTCCTGATCTCAGGTGATCCACCTGCCTTAGCCTCCCAAAGTGTTGGGATTGCAGGCATGAGCCACTGTGTCTGGCCTATTGTCCTTTAAAATGGAACTTTTCTCCCTATCTTCTCCCCTACAAGAGTGTATACTGTAGATACACAAGTTTGAGAGTTTCAGGACCCCCTTAGAACTAGAGTAATGGGTACAAAACTAACTCCCTACAGCTGAGGCCTGAAAGTCGCAATAGCGGCTACCAAGTAGTACTCTCCAGAAAAACAGTCCTCGATTACACAGTACCAGTGGCAGAGTTCTCTTAACTATGAAGTAATCAGTGCATACCGCTAGCCTCCCCACTAAGAAGTGGTCCATGCACCAGCTCCACTAAATATTGGGGAGAAATAGAGTCCTGCTTTGCTGACCACATTTTCTTTCATAGGGATGAGGTCAGGTCTATTTGCAGTTGGAAGCCTTGCCATTTAGTCCTTGTACACGATTAATGTCAGATCATAGGTAAGGCTCTCTTAGATCCATAGGAAAATTTTTTCACCAACGCAATTGTTTTCCTATAGTTGATGCTTCCACTACAGTAGCATAAAAGAAAAGTAGGGTGTGCAGCCTCTAATTTGATGTTTTCTTTCCTCTTTTCTAGGATAGAATGGTGTTGCTGGTTGTGGGGAATCTGGTTAACTGGTCCTTGTAAGTGGTCTTAAGAAAACATGTTTTTGCCTTTATTAATGTTGGTAACCCTGTGGTTTAGCTTTCCTTGACTGTGATTTTTACAGAGAAATCTGAAATTAAGGAGAAGGTAGGACTGCTTGTTCTAGAGACTCAAAACAGGTGTTTTATTTCCTGCAAAGAAGGCAGTAGGACATTCTTGTGCACCAATTGTAGCCTCTCTTAAAACACTGATGTATTGAGTTCATTTGCTTAAAAAAGTAAACATCAAAAGCTGTTAAATCTATGTGGATACGATGGATAGATAGATGGATAGATAGATGGATAGAGAGATAGAGAGATGGATAGAGAGATAGAGAGATGGATAGATGGATAGAGATAGATGGATAGATGGATAGATGGATGGATGGATGGATAGATGGATAGATAGATGGATAGATAGATTAGATGGATAGATAGGTGATAGATAGCTAGATGGATAGATAGATAGATGGACAGATGGATGGATAGATGGATAGATAGATGGATAGATAGATAATTATGCCAACGATTGCAAACATGCAACATAGCTTTAAACTATTTTGCAAAACTTTCCATAAAGACTACCCAGTAGGCCTTCTTTTTTGTAGAAATTTTTCTTGCTCTGTGTGTGTGTGTGTGTGTGTGTGTGTGTGTGTGTGTGTGTGTGTGTAGTCCCTCTTTTCTTTCTTTCCCTCTAGATCTCTTTCTTTCTACCTACATCATTCTTCTTTCTTTTTCCCCATGGCCTTTGTTCCTCACATGGCTCAAAATAGAACAGCACAACAGATGTATATTTTTGCTAGCCAAAATTATTTTGTGCAACCTATTCTCAAACAGTTGAATGAGTGAAATATTTTTTGATCACTCAAAAAATAAGTAAGTTTAACTACTTTTATTTGTGGGTCCTACCTGATGAGCTCCTCGGGGTCAGTGGCCTTTGATTTAAAAAAAAAAAAAAAAAAAAGATTTTCTAATCCCAGTGAACATTAAGGAATGAAGAGGCATGCCTTCAGAAGAAGCCAGAATCAAGTCATGAGAATCTGAGTCTTATTTCAGGGGCATGTGCTTCTGGAAGAAGTTTTTCATGTCACCCCAGGGATTGCCTCAGGATAAGATGCATACTCTTTAAGGATTCCTCCTTTACTTGGGGCAGGTCAAGATGAGAGGATTCTTGGGCAGTGGTCTCTTCTTGACCATGCTTCTAGCAGACTGCATAGTCCTGGTGGCCCTGAAAGAGAGGGCACTGGGAGGAGAAAAGGGACCAACTTCTTGATAATGAACAGCCTTTGACTATGACCCCAGGGACATAGAATCACCTGTCTTGTCTCTGTCTCTCACATTAGCAAAACCAAACCCATGATTTGCTCACAAGACAAGGCAAATGACCTCTCTTCATAGACAGTTCTGTGGGACAACAGGGGCTCTAGAGATGAAGGCGGTGCAATGGCAGACATACACCATGATTATCTGATCGTGCACTACCGCCTTCTCAGTTGCTCCATAAAGACGTGGAATGATTTCCTATGAATGTTATTTTAAAAAGAATTACTTTCATATGGTCCTGAAGAAGAAAAATGGTGTGTGTGCATACATACACATGTATTTACATGTAGGCATAGAGATGTGTGTACATACATATGAATATATATATATAGAGAGAAAAATGATAAAGCAAATGTAACAAAATGCTAATAATTGGAGAATCTGAATGAAGGATATACAAGAACTGCTTCATATACTAAAGATTTCAAAATCTTGGAGGAGAAAATTTTCTCTATTATAGAGAACAAAGTCATTTGAGGCGGGGTGCAGTGGCTCACACTTATAATCAAAACACTTTGGGAGGCTGAAGCAGGAGGATTGCTTGAGCCCAGGAGTTTGAGGTCAGTCTTGGCAACATAGTGAGACCCTCTCTCAAAAAAAAAAAAAAAAAAAAAACAAAGTCAGTTGAAATTCAAAATGGAAAAAAAAAAAGAGTCCATTAATAGTAGCTTTACACTTTAAATACTTAGGAATAAATTTTGAGAGATGTACACAATCTTTCTTTACAAAATGTAATTACTGCTGGGCATGGTAGCTCACGCCTGTAATCTAGCACTTTGGGAGGCCCAGGCAGGTGTGGATCACAACATCAGGAGATAGAGACCATCCTGGCTAACGTGGTGAAACCCCGACTCTACTAAAAATACAAAAAATTAGCCGCTCATGGTGGTGGGCGCCTGTAGTCCCAGCTACTCAGGAGGCTGACGCAAGAGAATCGCTTGAACCTGGGAGGCAGAGATGGCAGTAAGCCAAGATGGCACCACTGCACTCCAGCCTGGGCAATAGAGCAAGACTCCGTCAAAAGAAGAGAGAGAAAGAGAGAGAGAGAGAGAGAGAGAGAGAGAGAAAATGTAATTAATACCTTATCGGGAGCCATAAGGAAAATTTAGCTAAATGAAGAGAGACCTCAGGTCCTGGGTGGAAAGATTATTGTAAAGATATTCTTTCTCAAGGTAATATGTAAATTTAGAGTTAGAATAGTATTTAAGTTAATAAGCTTTTATTCTAAAATTTATTTGCCTAGTTAGGCAAAAATTCCAAAGATCTTTGAAAAAGAGATGAACGGAAGGAAGGAGGGGCAGAGGTGACTAGCCCAGCATTGTTCCGTAGAACTTCCTGGAGTGATGTAAATGTTACACACATAAGGTCTAATACAGTAACTGTTAGCACATGGATACTGCAAACTTGAAATGTGGCCAGTATGACTGAGAAAGCAGATTTTCAATTTTATTTAATTTTAATTAATGTAAACTTAAATAACCATTTGTGGCTACCAAATGGAACAGTGCAGGCTAGCCTAATCAGATAACCTAGAATATTATAAAACAATAATAAAAGGGTGAGGCACTGATCTAAAATTAGAAATTAAAAATATGAGTCAGTGAATCCAAACGGAGGACAGAAACCCAACTAGATAGAGAGATGGCGATTTAAAAAAAAATATATATATGGATGTGTATTCATTAAAAACCATTTCAAAACAAGGAGATAAGGAAGAATTATGTAATAAAGGACGTTATAACTGAATAGAAATTTGTAACAAAATTAAAGCTAACTCCAACCAAAATTAACTGTAGCATTAATTTGAAAACCATGGACAGCTAGCAAAAATTTGGCAATGTGTGTCAAGCCAATTACGGAGATAATTTTGCTTCTATTCTAAGGAACTAATCTTAAATGAAAAAAAGATAAGCGCAATGTCTGAAAGTATTCATTTATTCATTGTAGTGTTTCTTATAATAGTGAAAAACTGAAGAATGTGGGGAAACACGTTAACAAAAGAGGAAAGATGAGCGTTTACATTAATTCAATTATGGAAACTTTACATGGTTGTTAGAAATGGATGCTTGGAAGAAAGTGTAATAAATTGGAAGTTATTTATATAGGCAAGACACTATGGCTTACAGCCATAATCCCAGGGCTTTGGGAGGCTGAGGCAACAGGATGGCTTGAGGCCATGAATCCAACACCAGGCTGGGCAACATACCAAGACCCTGCCTTTACAAAACAAAACAAAAAAAATGTCAAAAGTTAGCTGGAAGTGGTGGTATGTATCTGTAGTCCCGGCTACCAGACAGGCTGAAGTGAAAGGATCACTTGAGTCCAGGAGGTGGAGATTGCAGCGAGCCTGAGCCGTGGTTGCACCACTGCACCCCAGCCTGAGTGAGGGAGTGAGACCCCAACTCTTTAAAAAAAAAAAAAAATTTACATGTTAAAGTATTTTTTTTAAAAAATCTGTTGCATCACGAGGTAAGAGTTTAAAAAAAGTGAAGTTAACTAAAAATAAAAGTTTTTGTTTTAAAAAAAAAGAACCTGCCCCTTCCCCTTCAAGGGGCTGGGGCATTGGAAAGGCCAATAGTGTTACAAACCCACCTTAACGGCTGCCCACATTTCTCCCACGCCCGCAGCGCCCTTTTCGGATTGATATACCGCCCCAGGGACTTTGCTTCCTACATGCTGGGCATCTTCATCTGTAACCTGTTGCTGTACCTGGCCTTTTACATCATCATGAAGGTAAGAGCGGGCGCCGGAAGCGGCTGCCTCGGCCCTCCGGCTGGCGCAGGCGGGATCCCGCGAGGCCGCATCTGGTCTCTCCCGACAGCTCCGCAGCTCCGAGAAGGTCCTCCCAGTGCCGCTTGTCTGCATCGTGGCCACCGCTGTGATGTGGGCTGCCGCCCTGTACTTTTTCTTCCAGAATCTCAGCAGCTGGGAGGTAAGAGGCTAGTTTGCTATTCCAAGAAGAACTCCTCTCTCCAATTTGCCGTTTTGGCCTTTCTACCTCTCTCTTAACGTGTTTTCACAGTGTCTAAAATGAAAGTTTTCTCTACAAGGGATGGTTTTTAATAGCCACACATAAATGCACAATAACCGCATGTGGTTATCATTCTCAGGATGGCACTTCATAAATCTGTAAGCACTGGATGCTGGTCCCAGTGGATGCTTAACGTGGTCGAAAGCTTTGAGTTCATCTTGGCAACTTTCTCATCATCTCCATCCATCAACAAATACCCAAGCGGGAGTGTCATTACGTCCAGTCCATAGACAGCAGAGCCCAGGCCTAGGAAATTAGTGGTATATCTGAGGCACAGAACAGGAAGAAGTCTTAGCATTCCACCACAACCGTCACCACAATAGATTTTGGAACACTTCTGTCACTCTGGAAAGAAACCTGATAGCATTAGCAGTCACTCCTCACTTCTCCCTGACTCCTTAGCCCTAAGCAACTGCTAAATCTACCTTTTGTCTCTGTGTATTTGCTTATTCCAGATATTTCATATAATGGAATCACATCATGTGTGGCCTTCATGTCTGGCTTCTTTCCCTTATGTGTGCTAGGTTCAAGCACGTTGTAACATACATAGTACTTCCTGTCTAGTCGTTGCTGAATAATAATCCACTGTACTGATATGCTGCATTTTACCCACCTGCTCATCAGTTGATGGACATTTGGATTGTTTCTATTTTTATGTCTTTATGAATGAATGATGCTGCTGTGAATATTTGTGTACAAGTTTTTTTTCTTGAGGTAAAATATACATATAAAATTTACCATTGTTACCATTGTAGTGTGCAGTTCAGTGATCATAAATACATGCATATTCTTGTGCTCGCTTCGGCAGCACATGTAATAAATACATGTATATTCTTTTGTTTTTCCCCTCATCTCCCTCTCCCCACTACCCTTCCCGGACCTGGTAACTACCGAGCTGTTCTTTGTCTTCATGAGATCTGCTTTTCTAGCTCCCTCATATGAGTGAGAACATGCAATGTTTGTCTTTCTGCACTTCACCTAGTTCACTTAATATAATGGCCCCACGTTCCATATGTGTTGCTGCAAATGGCAGGATTTTATTCTTTTTTATTGTGTGTGTATGTATGTATATGTACATTGTCTATGTAGATATGTGTATCATATTGTCTTTGTCCATACTTCTGTTGATGGCCATTTAGATTGATTCCATATTTTGCCTATTGTGAACAATGCTATGTAATGAACATGGGAGTGCAGATATCTCTTTGACTGATTTCTTTCTTCTGGATATATATCAAGTAGTAGAATTGCTGGATCATATGGTAGTTCTATTTCTTTTTCTTTTCTTTCCTTTTTTTTTTTTCTTGAGGCGGAGTCCCACTCTGTCACCCAGGCTGGAGGGCAATGGCATGATCTCGGCTCACTGCAACACCTCCCAGGTTCAAGTGATTCTCCTGCCTCAGCCTCCTGAGTAGTTGGGATTACATGCGCCTGCCACCATGCCCAGCTAATGTTTTTTGTATTTTTAGTAGGGACAGGGTTTCACCATGTTGGCCAGGCTGGTCTCAAACTCCTGACCTTAGGCGATCCACCCACCTTGGCCTCCCAAAATGCTGGGATTACAGGCCGAACCACCGCACCTGGCCGTAGCTCAATTTTTAGTTTTTTGAGGAACTTCCAAACTGTTCCCCACAGTGGCTGTACTAATTTACATTCCCACCACAGTGGGTGAGGTTCTTTCCTCCACATCCTCGCCAGCATCCGTTACTGCCTGTCTTTTTGATACAAGCCTTTTTAATGGGGTGAGGTGATATCTCATTGTACTTTTGATTTGCATTTCTCTGATGATCAATTAACCTTTTCATATGCCTGTTTGTCATTTGTATGACTTCTTTTGAGAAATGTCTATTCATATCTTTTGCCCATTTTTAAATTAGATTTTTTCCCTTAGAGTTGTTTGAGCTCCTTATCTATCCTGGTTATTAATTTTTTGTCAGACGGATAGTTTGTAAATATTTTCTCCCATTCTGTGGGTTGTCTCTTCACTTTGTTGGTCATTTCCTTTGCTGTGCAGAAGCTTCGTAGCTTGATGTAATTTCATTTCTCTATTTTTGTTTGGGATGCCTGTGCTTTTGAGGTCTTTGTGTACAGGTTTTTGTGTGGATGTATGTTTTCTTGGAAGCTAACTTTTTGAACTAGACAACTAGTTGCGTTTTTGTAGCTTTCAGATGCTCAGCTCTGAACAGTTGAACTGTGGGAATCTTGCCCATGCCCTGCCTCACTTTCCTCCAGGGAACCCCGGCTGAATCCCGGGAGAAGAATCGCGAGTGTATTCTGCTGGATTTCTTCGACGACCATGACATCTGGCACTTCCTCTCTGCTACTGCTCTGTTTTTCTCATTCTTGGTGAGTTCGTATCTATCTTTTTGTGACTACCTTCTCTGTTTACATCTTGTACTCTCATTTTCTTCTGCTGCTCTTCCTTATATCCTTTTTTTATATTCCTCTCTAATTTTTCTTTCCAATTCCTCCTTGTAATTCAATGTACAGACCATCTTATTTCTTTCTAAAATTTTGTATCCTTTGGTTAGATCTTCAGTTTTTCTTTACTCTTCCGTATCTTTAGACACAGAAGGACAAAAGTTGCACAGCACATTTGCACAGCACATTTGTCCTGAATTGGTTATTAGACCCACGTGCCCAGAATTTCCCCAGGAATGACTTTTAGCAATTCTGATAACATTGGGTTATTCCTTCTCATGCCATACTCACATTCCTCCTCCTCCTCCTCCTCCTCCTCCAGTCTCCCTGAATATTTCACAAATATGTTACAGATTCCTTAAGTGGCCTGGGATAGCAGCCATGCCTCTGCTGCCTTCTGACCAGTCTGTCCCAAATCTCTCCTGTAGTTTGTATATTTTTTTGCCCCAGACCTTTCTCAGAAACCATGCGTATTTATATCAACCCTGGATTACAGTTTCATCCTTTAATCCTAACTTCAAAGTTTCCCAATTAGAAGTCCGTGTGCCTGCAGGCAGGTTCAATTGACAACCCTACTTGACTCCCCAGCTCCACGCTAAGCAGGCTCAGGCCTGCCGTGTAACTTCAAGAGTGGAGCAGGGCTACCCCCTAGTGGCCACTTTGGGAAGCTTAACCAATCCGTATGAACATTCCTTATGGCTTTTACTTGTGATCATCACTTTCTTGAGAGAGACAGAGACAACAAAAGCGGAACTAAAGGTTCCACGCGGGGACAGTGGTCGAGGGAACTAGAAATAGAGGAGGGTGCATTTCTATATAGCAATACTCTCTCCAACAGGACTTCATGCCCTTTAAGTCTTGACCTAAATGTTCCCTTCTAAGTAATGACTTCCCAGGCTACCCTATCAAAATTTTTTACCTCCCCACACCTGAAGCTTCCTGTATTTCCTCCCTTATTTAACTTTTATCCTTAGCACTTATTACTATCTAAAGTGCTACATTTTACTTATGTATTTGTTTCATCTCTAAAGCCCTCTTTAGAATGTAAGCTGCATGGAGAATAAGGAATTTTCTCTCTCATTCCAAACTCTATCTCCATAGCAACTGGAATAGCTTCACAAATATTTGAATTAATTGACAAATGAATTGTATAATTATGATAAGTGCCTATTAAGAGCAAGGCATTGCAGAGAGCTGCAGAAGGCATGAGGGAACTCACAGTTTCCAGTCTGTGGACGTCTCCGAGAGAAAACAGGGACTAAGTGTAACACTGACTGTCCATTCCTTTCATTCCTCCGTCCCTCTCATTTCAGGTTTTGTTAACTTTGGATGATGACCTTGATGTGGTTCGGAGAGACCAGATCCCTGTCTTCTGAACCTCCAACATTAACAGGAGAGGAGGGAGCGATCAATCTTGGTGCTGTTTCACCAAAATCACAGTGACTGCAGCAAAGTAACCACTGCCAGACGCTCCACTTGCCCCCTGTAGAGCCAACTCTGTGTTCACACAGGAAGGAGAGGGGCTGCAGGAGATTTACACCTGCAAGAAGGGAGGCAGAAGGGAAGCCATGTTGAGGACAGACGCAAACATGAGGAGCTGAGAAACACTTGCCCCTTCCATCTGCAGCTCTGAGTGCAACAGGGACAGATGCTGCATCCAAGTCAACTCGCCATCCTGGGGTCCCTCCCACCCTCACGGAGACTTGCCAGCAATGGCAGCATGCTGCTGCACTCTTCCCTCCAGTTGTCGCCCTGCCCAGAAAGGCCAGCAGCTTGGATTTCCTGCCCAGAGACTGACTTGGCCCCCTTCACACCTCTGCAACACCTGCTGCTCCAGCAGGAGTATGTGATTCTTTAGAATATGATGGGGAGGTGACCCCAGGCCCTACTGGGATAGATGTTCTAGTGGCACCAGCTAGTCACCTCCCAGAAGAAACTGTATGTTTCCCCAGGTTTGCAATGCCATCAGAAGGGTTCAGGAGTGGGGTTTGTCACACATTGCTCTTACCAAGTAACTGTCACTGGGACCAAGGCCTGGGTGCTTATATATTCCTTCGTGTCTTCATCTCACTGACCTGTGTGGATCTCATCACACTGGCTCTGCCTTCTTGGAAAGGGCCTGTCACTCACAGATGTCTGGCCAGCTTCAAGGCAGGGGAAACAGGAAAAGCCCTTTTAACAGCAGCAGGAACAAGAGAAATGACTAACCATACTAAGAGACTGGTAACAGCAGCAGCAGGCAGACAGGCCTCATGGTAAGGGCTTGGGCTGCCACAGCAAATTCAGCAGAGTGAGCAGTGCTTACTCGTCCCTGCCATTCACTCAGCTCAGCTCTGTGCCCACATCACCTTTGGGGAAGAAATCAGTGTTCTAACCAGGAACACTACTGCAGGAGTCCTCCACAGCAAGTCCGTCATCTGTCATTGTATGTAGATCAGGGCTCTGGACTTCCTCCCTGAAGTTCTCAGAACCAGCTCTCAGGATGAAGATATTGTCCTCTTCCCCTCTTCTTGCAAAAAGCACCGCTCATTTAGTATTGTCTCTCAGCTGCACCTGACTCTCATTCTCTCCCCAGTAAGGTGTTGGAAAACTCAGTATCCAGGTTCCACACGCGCTGTCTGGCAGCTCTGTGTCTGAGAAGTCCAGTATTGGCCAGGCCCCCTTGTTGCCTGTAGTATGATGTAATCAGAAAACGGATGTATAAATGTGCACATGGGTGTATATTTGCTTGTGAAATTAAAGTCACCTCTCGCCTCTGCTTTCCTGACCACTCGTTAGAAAAAATGGATCCGGCATTTTTTTAAATTATTATTCTTTCTCTAAACTGTTTGCACTGTGTTCAAAAACCCATTTTAGAAGTTTGAACAGCAAGCTTTTCCTGATTTTAAAAACATGAAGATGCTTTCAACAAAATATTTTGTGATTTTTTTTAAAGTCCCTAAATGTGTACTTAGTCTTCTATTATTCTTTATTCTTTAAGAAGTGTTGGCTTCCATAGACCATATGAAGGCCACCAATTAAATGGTGGTGTTAATGCAACATGTAAAAAAAATTTGGCAGGGCACAATGGCTCACGCCTGTAATCCCAACACTTTGGGAGGCTGAGGCTGGAGGATCACTTGAGCCCAGGAGATTGAGGCTGCAGTGAACTATGACTGTGCCCCTGCACTCCAGCTCGGACTAGAGTGAGACCCCCATCTCTTAAAAAATAAAAATAAAGATTTGAACCTGTTTATGGCTGCTTTGACCTAATTTCTTTATCTTAACACACTATGGTTTCTAATTCACAAAAGACCAAGGGAGGAAATGTGAACAGTGCAATCCATTCAAGTCGCCCTGTGGCTGAAGTGACACTTAAGAGGCATAACCTGTTTGGTAGCTTGTTTGGGAAAATGTGAGTGGAAATGGGGAGAGGGCGCTGGAGGAAAGGGTGGACCGTGCTGCTGGAGCCTTCGCTGTTTTCTGATCACGTCTGTCTTGTGCTACAAACTCACTGTGGTTAGTTTTGTTCTCTGCAACAGTACCGAAAATCCAGATCAAACTTGTTTTTACAAATATCAGTTCCAAGGGTACGTGTTGCTAATTCTTTCCACAGTGCCTGTCTCACAGTTGGAGGACGTAAAGTCATTCAGCTGCGTCTGTGGGATTTACACAAGTGCTGGGGTGGAGGGGAGCACGGGGGCCTTAAAGAGCTTAGCGAGCCGTTTCTGTAGTACAGCGTCTGTGCTGACTCTTGCTGGGTTCACGGACTTCACTCTTTAAAAGAGAAAGGAAGAGTGATGCCCAAAGCCGAGTTCAACAGGAGTGTCCCTGGAGAAAAACAGTCAATATGAAGAGGCTCTTGGCAAAGTAAGCACAGAAGTAGTAAGAGCAGTTCAGCTGGAGCGGGACGGAGATGTGGCAGCCAGAGGAGCAAAGCTGTGTGCACAGAAAATGACCTCTTCACACCTCTGACAGAAGCCGGAGAAGCAGCCCCACCTCTTCATGCTCCATGCATACTGAGGGATTCGCCCAGTTTTATTTTAGCAGCAGGAGCAGCCAGAGGAAAGCTAGAGTCTAACTGGGGAAGGGACTTTCCATGACTGAAGGAGGTCACCGAGCCAGCTCATCGGGCAAAGAAAATGGCAGCTGCTCTCTTTGGAACTCCAGGCACCCACCAGAAGGTTCTGTGGGGTCACAAAATGCGTGTTGGTAAATCAAACACCCAGATCCTCCTCGATCTGGGTGATAGCCTCTCTATCCAAAACTCAGGGAAAGGGGAGGAACAAAGATAAATGCTATTCACAGAAGAAACAGTACAATCTGTGAAAGATCCTGGAGTCCACCTAATTGCTGTGTGCCCTTGGATAAGTGGCTGAAACTCTCGGATCCTCTGCTGGCACACCTCCACGATTCTACATGAGAATGGCAGAGGTGGAGGGTGTGCGGGGCACCAGGAGCAGTCCTCACGCAGAGAGGACCCTCAGCTTACCCTCCTGAATCCCACAGGGAGGAAGGGCAAGACTGGATCTGTCAGCCATGCTGGGATCTCTCTCCTCCAGGGCTCTTCATTAAAACAACCGTTCCATTTCCTGTCCTCAGCCCCAGGAGGCCCTGAACAGGTTGGGAGGTCACTTCACCTTCAGAGACGCTGCCCACAGCTGCTCAGCCTCCTCCCATCCCTACTCCCCTCCTTGTCCTTTGTGGCATCATTTCCCTGACTCTGGCCCTGAATATCCTTATTCCAACTCAGATTTTTTTAAAAAAATGCTACCAAAGCTAGGGCCAAGTGGAAAGCCTGGCTGTTCATAATGTGACACCTCATCACTGCTGACTCTGCCTGGGAATCTCAAGGAAAACCTAGGTTCTCTCTCAAGTAGCTATTACAACCTTGTTTCAGAGAATGCCACATGCAAATGTTTCCCTCCCTTCCCACCCTGATTACCAAATGTTCTGTAGGGCAACCTTGCATCTTCAGCTGAGAACGCTTCAGCCTGCAGGTGACAAAACAGTCCCTGAAAGGGGAAGCCTGGGTTTGAAATGAACCACTACGAATCTAATGTCCCTAGTGAAACTAAGGAGAACTACTATCGGTTGAGATTCTATTTGCTCTGCTTGAAGCAATGGAAAATGCTTCTTTACTATGATTCTGCCCAGCTTGTAGTAGTTTTTCTTTTTTTTTTTTAAAGCACTGGAGGAGACAAAGTATATTTGTGTAGCTAAGCTTTAATGTCTCCTCAATATGAAGGCACCTTTGTTAACAAGGTTAACTGCATGTTAAATCTTAGGCCTTAACACTCATGAATTCAAGGAATCTGGGGAAAAGTCACAGATCAGCCTTCACCACTGAGTTTCTAGAACACCAGAGCAAGAGAGATTCAGCTTGGGTCTCCTCTGTAAAAAGATACCCCTACTCAATGAACTCCGAGGCAGTGGGGGGCTGTTTGCACTGTACAACTTTCCTGAAGCACGTCTTGCTATTCTTACTGTAGCACAAACAAGACTAGATGGCTACTGTGGTTCATGAAGAAGTACCCTTTGCTCCCCTAGTTTTAGGGAAAAGATCCCTTCTTAAATATCTCTAGATTAAGATATTTTATCATTTTCCCTGAACTCTTAAAATTTTTTTAATTCCTTAGCTCTATCTTGCCTCCTTTTGTCTACCTTGAAGTCCTTGTCATCTAAGGTTTATTCATTTCACTGGAGATGAACAATAGCTGACGTTTATTTAATATAAAAGAGCCTGAAGTCTATGTTACATTTCAGTCAAGTGCTAAATAAAAGCTGGGGGTCCCACCTCCTGTTCCAGCATTACAGTTATCATTTAGAAATCAATAGATTTAAACAGTGAAAGATTTTTAAGTCAGGGCAAGAGAAATCTGACATGCAACCTCACCATGGCTTGCTCCCGGACCCCTGCTTTATATTTAAGCCTTGATTTTGTGTGTGAATTAAGACTCTAGGCAAGGTGCAGTGGCTTACACCTGTAATCCCAGACTTTGGGAGGCTGAGGCGGGCGGATCATGAGGTCAGGAGTTTGAGACCAGTCTGGCCAACATAGTGAAACCCTGTCTCTACTGGGCATGGTGGCGGGCACCTGTAATCCCAGCTGCACGGCACTCCAGCCCCAGCAACAGTCTCAAAAAAAAAAAAAAAAAGACTCTAGGTCCTTTAAGCAGAATATTGTCCAAAATAAATCAAATGCTATGTCTTTTAGAGTGCTGCAACATTACCATCCCAGAAAGAGGTGGGTTTGCATTTTACAGTTAGCATTAAATTGCTTACCTGAGCCTTTGACAAAGCTCCCTGGTACCAGGGAAAACAGGAAACAGGACATATAAAGGCATGAGGTTTACTCTGCTTTTATCTCAACATGGGACACCTTGAGAAGTAATAAGATTTTTAGGGGATGGTTTCCCCTTTATTCTCTCAACACATCTCTGTTCACTTAGAGAAATCAGAAATACAGCTTTAGTAAATAGTCATGGGACATTTGGGCTAGGCACTGTGAGAAACTGGGCACAACCATGAATGAAATGCACACATCCCTTCCAGCATATGCTCTACTGTCCATTAGGGAAGATGGACAAGAAAAAACACATGATTATACTTTGTTTAGATCATCAGGCAAAAAGCTACAAGAAGAGAACATCCTTATAGGAATCTTATCATTAGGTGCAGAACAGGAAAAAAATCCAAGTAATTGTCAGCAATATTTATGCTTAGATGTAAAGCCCTAATTGCTGACAGCATCTCCCTCATAACCAAATTCCTCGAGAGTAGGCGGGGTGCGGTGGCTCACGCCTGTAATCCCAGCACTTTGGGAGGCTGAGGTGGGTGAATCAAGAGGTCAAGAGATCGAGACCATCCTGGCCAACATGGTGAAACCCCATCTCTAAAACAAAACAAAACAAAACAAATTCCTCGAGAGCATACTTGGTTCTGGAGGCCTACCTAAGAGACCTCTTCAGGGAGGTTCAGGCTTTCTCTGTCTATGGTTCCCGGTTCTACTACAAAACCAAACACAGAAATCAAGTAATTAGGGGAGACCCTGCTCAGGATCTGGTGTCAGAGAAGGATGCTGGTTCTCAGTGAAGGGTGACTTTGAAGAAATAAGCTTCTTGCTGAGATTCCTCCAAACAAGTCTGAGCATTTCCAGTTGACTTTCAAAGGCTAAAACCTTATAACAATTATGTGGATGGAACATTCAGGAAAAGGAAAACTGAGATGCGGCAAGAATAATGTAAATCTGGAAGACCAAATGGAGACTCAGTTGCAGGTCAGGGTTAAGCAGTTAGTGATTTCTGAAAGCCTAAGTGGGAAGGGAACACATAAGATTTTAGCCTGAACCATCCATAAAAGCCACGAAGGTGGAAGGTGGCTTTAAACAAGAAGGTAAATGAGACTGGATTGGGACATACAGGGAAAGACAGCTGCTGCTTTGAGTAATGGAAGTTAAGAGGTAAGCTAGAAGGAAAAGAAAATTACTTAACTTCATGAAAAGCATTGGGCAGTAGTGTTGATGACACACAGGATGCATGGAGCCTGCAGAGGCCATTTTAGCATCTGTAAAATGGTTTGGGGATGGGGGACTAAGGGAGGAGAAATAAACTTTTGATGTGGTAAATGTGTGGGTTTGATCTTGTTTTTAAGCAAACTGAAAGCAAAAAGAAAGCAAGCCTTGGGGTCCACTGAGCTGAGACTACAGCGACTACTAACTACAGGCAGAATTGTAAAATATCATACTGGGACTAAGAGGGAAGCTTACGGCCTGTCGGATGATGCCTACAGCCTGGACTGTCATGCCTAGAGAAGGCGAATAACTGGTAAAAGGGGACAAATCAGAAAAATACGTGGGATGATGTAACTGATGACCTCAAATTTTTCATAAGAAAAAATGAAAGTCCCAGTTTTAATCCCAGCAGAAAACAGAGATCTAGAGAGAAGGATAATTGGAGTGGGGATTATTTTATTTCCTCCTTGAAGAAACAAAAACAGCTCTTTCTGCCTAACTCTTCCTGAGAGGTTGCAACAACCTCACTGTGCTAAAGGACAAGTATGGGACTGAAGCTTTCAGCCTGCCCTCTTAGTGGGATCTTACTATTGGAAACTTATGTCCTCAATTTCTACCTTCCAACTTCTATTCATAGAACATTAAGGTAGGCATAACTGATGATCAAAACAGCCAACATGTGGCTGGGTGCGGTGGCTGGCCCCTGTAATCCCAACACTTTGGGAGGCAAAGGCGGGTGAAT